CTTATTAATCGGTCTGGAAATGAGGAATTTGGGTGGGCTTTTTAAGGGTAAATCATTTCAATGAATTGGCTTTGAAGTGTCATTTTTGTAGGTACGTCAAGTTTTGATGACCGTAAACCTGGAGCTAAAAGCTCGGCTATTCCGATTTTCTAAGTCAAGCCAAGGCTAAAGTTTTTAAATTTAAATTTTAAGAAACACCTTTTTCAATTCTACTCCATGCCTATAAAAATTCAAGAAAAACGCATTTAAAGTTGGTTATTGGACACTTGATATGCGCTCCACCCGTTTTGCCATTGGCAATCTAACTTTGAACTCAAATATCTTGGTGTTGGACTGTCCAATTGAAATGGTCTTGGTATCATTGGATGCGCCGAGTTTTTCTCTGTCGATTGGTACAAAAGGTATTTAAATTGGACTGTCCAAAAGCAAGATATTGGAGCTCAAAGTTGGATTGCCAATGGCAAAGGGGCGGAGTTTAGGGGCTTATATTTTTTGCCATTGGCAATCCAATTTTGAGCTCAAATATCTTGGTGTTGAGTCGTCCAATTAAAATAGTTTTTTCTACCAATCAACAGAGAAAGACTCGGCGCATCCAATGATACCAAGAATATTTAAATTGAATCGCCCAACACCAAGATATTTGAGTTCAAAGTTGGATTGCCAATGGAAAAAGGGACGGGGCGCGTATTAAATGTCCCACAATCTTTGAAAAATTGAGGTAGATAGAGGATATAAAATGAGCGCGTTTTCTAAAAGATATCAACTTTTAAAAGCTAATCTTACCGTAATCTTACCTGTAGGTTTGTTCTATACTCTATTTTCCGGCTTTACCTCAAGTTTACAAAGAGTATCGATGGAGATAAAGATGGCAGATAGATTGAATAACACTAAATAGACAAGCGTAGGGTATTTATCGAAAGCTTTCATGTTTTAGAAACCATTTATTCGAGTCTATAAAGTCTACAAACGAAATCTGAGCTGATCGAGCTAAAGCTGAGATTGAAAATGGTCAAGAAAACAACTCTTGCTCATTTACCAATTCGAAAACCCAAAACGACCTTGACATTTCAAAAAGAATTAGTAGTACATGGAGTTTACTATCGCCAAAAAAAACAAATCGCTCCTCCTTTTTGGCCTTTTTTTATGAATAACCATTCGAGCTTATCATTTTCTTGGACTGTTTCTTTAAAAAGATTTTGTTCTGATGAAATAAAACTTTACGAAAACGATTGTAAACTTTATTTGAAGCGTCATCAAACCAAAAAACACAGCTGATTACTGCGAGATTCGATTAAAAAGCTGAAAATCAAAAGTTTAGAAATGAAGTGGTTATCTAATTTTGTTCTCGAGTTGCACTCAAATAGTACTTGACGCATCGGTTTGAACTCAACTTTTGAATCTATCAAAACTGAAAGAAAAACTATCAATTCAAACTGTTCTTGAAGTGTAACTCTTGAAGTTTAGCACCAATAAAGATTGATTTAACATTTGATTAAATTAAAAGTTGATTTTAAAAGTTTTTGAAAGCTCTTTGGCATCTTGCTTTAACTAATCACTAAACTTGAGCTAGGAATAGCATTAATTTACAAAAGAAATTGTTATACACTTAATCAAAGATCAGGAGTTTGATACTTTTAATGCAAAATTATTTATTGAAATTTCAAAAAGGTCATGTCAAAGATTTTTCAACTAAAACAATCAAAGATTTTGCTAAAATAGCGATCAGTGAAAGTGAAGTCCTCTTTGCGTCGGCTTATCTCGAAATCCAATCAACTAAAAAGTTAGCCACGTTCCAAAATTTCAGATATTATAAGCAAAAGTGCTGCTCTAGCATTTTGCTATTCTGAGCGAACTTTGATCATTTGAGGAGCTTATGATTGTAAAAGTTCTCACGAGCATACTCCAAACGCAGATTTTGCAGAGATATCAGAGATGCAGGGTGCCCAAAGTATGGCTTGCCATTAAAAGTACAAAAGTACAGCTTGCCTTTAGTTTAACTGCTCTAATCTAACTTTTGGTCTAGTCTGTCAGGGGGAATACCGAAGCTATCAAAAGTATTAGATTGAGTACTAATTCGTGATAACACGTTTTGTTTTTTGTTTCATCAAAGAGCAAGGCATAGCTGTTTATAAATAGTCAGACACGCATTGCCTAACTTTGAGCAAAGTTTCATTCCGATCTAATGACTGGGCTTCAAGGAAACTTTTTTTAAGCATACGTGTCTGATTATTTATAAGCAGCTATGCCTTGCTCTTTGATGAAACAAGAAACAAAAAGTGTTATCAAGAATTAGTACTCAATCTAATATTAGATTGGCCGCTATGCTGGACACTTCATTTAAAAAGCTATTCAGAGATAACCAAATCACCAATTGACCTACGCTTTGCTCCATTAGAAAAAAACCGAATATTTTTCTATAAAAGCTCGTTCAAATCTTAAGAAATGTTTTGTTTTTGGTTTTTTTGTTCGGAGGTGCGAACTCGGTCAGCCAAAAAGGCCTCGATGATGCAATTTAGACGCTTTTGTCCAAAGAAACCGACCTTTGTGTCAATAGATAAAAAATAGAACACAAAAAGTTGGGTTTATAGCCAAATTTTACAGAATAAACTGTTCAGCGAATTCATTTAATATCACCTTTCATCGAATTTTACGCAAAACAAGTTCTTGCGCTTGAATTTTCTTGGAAACGAGCCCAGATTGGCGTAAAAAGATAAAAAGATAGAAAATTGTATATTAAATATCTTCTATTTGACGCAAAACCGTAGATCAATTGGTAAACGTTTAATTTATAAAGCAACAGACAAGACTACGGTAACTTTCCAAAGTTGACATGTTTTAGAAACTGGAACACACTGCAATCGCGATCAAAGTGAAGTGTTTTTAATTCAAACTTTTTCAAAAGCTTGATAAAAGCTGAATCTATCACTCTTAATTAGTGAATGACAAGCCAAATAAAGATATAAATGTAGGAATTTGAAATATTGACTTTAAAAAATGCTTGTTGTTGACAAAATTCTTAGTTTTATCAAGAAGATTGTATTTCTAATGCTAATGGCTCATCATAACTTTTTTTATGTTGGTATATCATAACTTTATGTTGGTCCTTTAAGCCTCGCACAAGTGGTCGACGGCACGCTACCAAAATTAGTCAACTTCCAATGTTTATACAGATCCTTAGCATCAAATTAAACAATTTACACAAAATTTTAAGCTTCTTTCTCAATTAAAATCAACTAAATTTGATATTAGATACTCTTTCTGGGGCTTTTTCGAGAAACTTTTACGATAAAAACACCAAAATCTGTTGACTTTGATACGAGAGAGTTTCTATTTAAATAAATGTTAGCATAAACACTTTTAAAATTATTTTCTAACATTTTTAGCACGTTAATATTCACATTAACGTTAATATTCATCAGAATATTAAAGGTTTTTAAATTCTTGTTTGAGATTAATCTAAACTTCAAGGATGGCTAAAAAATTGAAAAGATTTTGGCAGTTTGCCGTAAAAGATTTGTGTGCGGCTCAAAGAGCTTTCGTATAAAAAAGCTATGATGATTTATGACTTCTTTATTCGTAGTTCTTTAGTTTTTGAATCAAAATAAAAGAGCAGTGTCCGTCTGTCCGTCTGCTACAATGTTTACCGTATTTTCTCTAATAGCAGTGCACCGCACCGAGCCGAGTTGATGCCTATTTTCCGGTTTCCAATTTTTCCCAGAAGCTCAACACTCTAATCATCCACTAGATCTCGTCGTCAGCTACATTTTCCGACCCCACATCGATAGGTTCTGACAAGCGGTTCTCGAGATTTCGAGGAATTTAGACGACGCTCAGGGTGCACTACTATTAGAGAGAATACGGTATCATAGGATGGCCCATAATAAGGGTTACGCCTTATATGAAGCCGAAAATGTGTCAGATTACTCAGATAAAATGTGTACGCTCAGGGTGCACTACTATTAGAGAGAATACGGCACATAAAAATATCGTAAAAAAGTTGAAACTTAACTTCAGTTACTTTTCCAGTTTTAATTTTATAAAATTCTAGTCTTCTTCTTGTTGATATTAGATGAAAAAGTATCAAAAATTGATCAATTTTATATCATTAAACTCCCCTAATCTTGTTTACACAAAATTTTCCACTAATTAAACGTTTTTTTTTTTCTATAATTTTTCATACATATTCCAATTCCAATCCAATCTTGTGAATTTTTCTCTATTTTTCAATCAAAATCTGAACAGAAAAATGATCTATTCCGCTAATCCGATCTACATCTCCTCCTACACTAAACACTGGAATCGAAAAATTTTGTTTTTTGTGTTAAAAGTGGATTCTTGTCTTTGTAAGAAATTGTAAGAAAAATTTAGTACGAAATTTAACAATAGACTTGAGTAATTGAAAGTTTTTTCAGAAAATGAATTTTCTCGTTCTCTGAAACTCGAGATAATCTCGAGAAATTCTCGATCGAGATGAGCAATTCATTCTCGAGAAATACAATCTTCTTGATAAAACTAAGAATTGTGTCAACAACAAGCATTTTTTAAAGTCAATATTTCAAATTCTTACATTTATATCTTTAATTGGCTTGTCATTCACCAATTAAGAGTGATAGATTCAGCTTTTATCAAGCTTTTGAAAAAATTTGAATTAAAAACACTTCACTTTGATCGCGATTGCAGTGTGTTCCAGGGCCTTTCAGGCCGGATTTTTCTGAATCAAACATAACTCCTTCCTTATGTGTATCCCTACGTGTATGTGTGTATGATGAAAGGATACGCATAGCGAAGGAGTCGTCTTTGATTCAAAGAAATCGGGTAAAGGCTTTGGAATGGAAAACCTGATTCTAAATAGTTTATTGATCCTAATTGCAAGCACAAAGGACAAAAATTTTACAGCATGAAAAATTAACCTTTAAAATACATTACAAATCCATAGTGAACAAAACACAGCTTTCAACTCAAAATCAGGAATAAATTTTGTGCACTATCATATGCCATCACCAAAAAAACCTCCAATATGAGCCAGCTTCCGGGCCGGGCACTAGCCGAACCATGTAGATTCTAAAACAATTTTGTAATAAATAGTTTCATCGAACGTAATCCATATATTAGAGAAATCCATGCTAAAAGATACCCAATACTGCCTGGTGCATAATCGTCTACATTAGCATTAACGTCAAGCTGAACGACGTCGCCATTTGCTCTTTTCAAACGAATCTCATGATAGTTGTAAGCATTCGCAATCAGTTTCACACCTGACAATCCAAGTAAGTTGCGCAAGAACTAAAAATTGAACATTTTATCGGGAAAAGTTCGAATTGCTTGAAGGACTATCTAGGCAATCTAGACTAGAATAGTTGAGTCGACCTTGCGGTCCTTTTAAGAAATGCATCCAAATTATCTTCAGCAAAATAAAAGCGTTCAAAGAGCTCACATTTTGGAGTTCTGCTTTCCCACCAACTGCTCGAAGGTTAATTTCATCAATTTGACGCTCTGAAGTGTACCAGTTTTGCATCATCCTTAAAACCCCATTAAGAGTGCATCCAGGCCTTTGAAATACACCGTTAAAACTCAAAAGACGAAAATTCGACAAGATCTAAACAATAAATATTATGCGGAGTAAGCGTCGTAGCAAAAATTATTCCTTGACCGTTAAATCAAAACAAACCGTGTCATTTAATGGATCAACCATGGCCTTGCCTCTTCCATTACGAAAGCAAACATTTTGCAATCCAACCGCATGCTTATTGGTGAAAAAATCGCTCGTAACAGGAACATTTTGTTTGTCTCCATTCACCTTCATCAGGCTAATTTTGATTTGTTCAATACAAACTTACAAAAATAGTTAGCTGGTGCGTAGGCCTTGTACGGCAAAATACATCCATGAATCTTTCCGGCGAAAGAGTCGTCTCTTCGATATCACAATATAATTCCTCGCATCGGAATAATTCCTTGCAATTTGCAAACACTTCCCAATCGACGTCCCACTTAAAGACACATTTTAAGTACTAGAAAACACCAGGGAACACTAACCAAAACGAGTCTCTTGAAAGTCACACGCTTTGCCAAATACTCCAAATGGTGCATCAAATTAGTTGGATCGATTGTTTCTTCATATGAGATGATTGTTCCAAAGCGATAGGAAAACTACAACCTACGTTTCTGTAACTAACGCAACAATCCTTACCTCGTTCCTATAAACATCAAGCCAATTGAAACAAACGCGAGGAAGTCTTGCTCTGCGCAGCTCGACCCTTCTATAGCAATCCCTTGAGAGTAGTCGAACAGTGCTAAAGCAAAGATTAGAATTAGAAAACGCAGGCATGAAACTTTTCGATGACGCGTGCAGGAAGTTTCTCAATCACCGCATAGAAAAGGACATCGGGAAGTGCTTCGAGGAAGTTGACAGAAGAGGTCGGCTGAAACAAAACTGGTACAAAACGTACATTGGGAAGCAATCACAAACTACAATATTTAAAGCGAATTATAGGCTAAATGCTTACATTCAGTTGCTCCTTCCTAAGGCTTTCCATGATCTCGGCTGGGTTTATCATCATTGCAAACTACCGTTCTAAAAAAAGCTTGTATAGAAGGGACGAGCAAAGAGTTAGATAGCTAAAAGAAACGAGATCGTGAGAACAAAGATGAAAAATGGGCAGAGCAAAACCAAAAGGGTAGTCTTCTTAAAATCTTCTTAAAATTATAAATTTAATGAAAATTTTGATTTTAAGAATGCAACAATCAACCTTTCGTTTTGGTCCCTCGACCGGTTCTCCATTTCATTCACCATTTCTCTCTCGAAATCAAAAGTGTCTATACGAAAAAGGAGGTTCTACTCGTTTGAAATCCAAATTTCAGTTAAAAACACTAAGTGATTTATCCCCCGGGAAATTTGGTGTTGAAGCGAAAGCTCTTGTACACAATCGCAATCACAATCAGCATCCCTATGATGTTGTCGTGAAATGTGTGAATGAAGAAATTGAGTTAAATTCGGGAAATCGTTAAATAAAGACATTCAATCAACTCAATTTTCATTTCAGACAAGGAAAAGTGAAAGACGAAAATGCAAATGCATCGGTTTCGATCAGGTTTCAAAAGGAGAGCCGCTAGAAATTTGATATGTTATGGTATATGGTCAAATTTATTTGAATGAATATTAAACGAAATCAGAAGAAAAATTGATGATTGATAAAATGATTTCCGACTAAACACAACAACTTTTCAAAATTGCTTCACAAAGGTTGGCTCTGGTTAACCCAAATCAAAAAAGCTTGTTATTTGCATAGACCATAAAGACACCTCATCGATATCGTCTTCAGTGAAACTTCTTGCAAAAAGCGTGTTTGTCAGCAGATCCAAAACAGTAGCTACAATTTGATTGAGAGCCGATAGTAGAGCAAGTGTATCCTAAACAGATATTGATTGACGAGTTTGTTAATGAACAATGCCTGGGCATACGCGATGAAGTAAAACGCTTGGCCATATCAGCAGCAATGACGTCGGCAGCAACCCAATTTTTCACCATGATTGCTTCGATGAATCTAAAAAATGACATCAGCCTCATCCAGCTAGCGCGCGAAAAACGATCAAAAACGACAGACTGGCGCAGACTTTGCGAGCATCAGTTGAGAGAAACACGCTCTCTGGCACACTCACCTGATCAAGAATGAATGAGTGCGCCAGAAAGGATGCGTTTGCGAGGGCACAAAGTGTGACAATTTCAGTGATACGGCTGGAAATCCATATTTACACGATTTCTTTTCACGCGTGATTGTTGATGATAAAAAATTTTAAAATATAATAAAAATTTATTTCATTGCTTCTTATTAATTTCGCGAATAATATCAATTTGAATTTCTTGCTTTTTCAGAATCTTTTGAATCGCACCATCTTCAGGGTAAGTAACTTTTTCTGGTCGACTGGTCTGGTCGACGTTTCGATTTTCTAAAAATAGACAGTAAATAAATCAAAAAAACATTTAAGAATTTACCGAATGTAATGTTCGTGTCATTTCTGGAATGCCAGAACTTGCTACCCAGCTCCCTCTTCTTTACGTCATCCACGTCTGGCTTCCAGTGCTTTACAGAACCACACCTACCATAGTGAGCAAGTGCGTCGGCCTAAAAATAAGAAAGAATTATAAATTTATTTCTTAAAGAACATATTCAAAAGCATTACATGATCGTTTCCTGCATCTCCAACGTGGCTGGGAACCCATTGCATGGTGACTTTGGGGAATCGTTTCAAAAGGAAATGTAGATTCTTCACCCTAAACGCAAATTATAAACAAATCCAAATGTAAAGACCAACGGTTTTTTTTTCGTCCCTGTTTAAAGTCCAGCCAAGCGGCTGGTCTTGTCGATCAGAAGCTGATTTAGCTTCCTGTCTTCCTCATTCTTCAATGCGATGATTACATTCACACAATCGGTACGAAGTATGACATCTCGATTTCTAAAATATCAAAAATCTTCTTATAGGGAAAATTGTTAAGATTTATTACTATTATACAAGTAAGAATGCTTACCCAAATCCTCCCCATAGCAGTAGACGATGCAGAGCGACATTTATCGCTAGCAATTCCCCAAAAAATGCGTGATCCGTGGGCCCGATGTTTAGACCTCTAAACTCAAAAAAATTTTTGAAAACTGTATTTAAAAATCTTTTTACTAGATCATTCAAACATCAATCAATATTTTATTTCCTAAAAAAACTCCTATATTCAGTTACCATTTAAAGTCGTTTTCTAGTTTTACTGTTCACTACTATAGTTAAAAACACTTACAAATTCAGTGGGTGGCCTATTCCATAAAACGTTCCGATCCCAGTCGTTCCTGTTTTATCATTGGCCCGTGAACCATCGGTGTAAATATAGATGTTGCCCTTGTTGAATTGCTGATGACAGTCTTTGCTTCGCCATTTCGTCGGAAAACCTGTAAAATTAACAAATAAATAGCCATTGTACCAGCAAAATATCAAATCATTCAAACAAAATAGTTTATAATTCACTAGCACTTCATGAGTTTAGAATTGTTTAAATCTAAAAACAAATAAACCCACCAAAACGTTCAGCCAATTCTTTCTCGTCCTTCTTCTTTTCCCAAAGCTCTGCCCGCTCTTGCAAAGTCTAAAAATAAGAAAATTGACCATTAATTGATAAAACCCCTTTTAATTATAGACTTTATTTTTCAGATCGATTCCCATCTTCCTATTTTATAAAGTTACCTTAGATATGGCTTGGGAAAAGCAGTCTTCCAAGTTCCGAACAACAAACTAAACAAATGAAATAGGCCTTTGAATAAAATAAGATTTTACTTTAGTTTCAGAAGTTCGGTCTTGAGCTGGAGGAGTTGAATGCGAGGAGTCACCAGATAGAGAAGAGACGGTAAAAGTAGTTCCTTTTGCCCAGGACTTGCTTTTTTTCCTTGCCTGGCGGGAGGGAAAAATTTTCCTTTTTTCTTTCCCCCCTCTTGTGGTCTTTCTCTCTAAAGAAGATTGATAATAGCGAAAAGAACGATTATCAAAGAGAACAATCAAACTAGAGGAGAAAAATTAACAAACCTTCAGACAATCCAAAGCAGCATTTCCACCACACGAGAAGGACAACGAACCAAGTAACCGTAAGACCAGCAAGCACGACTAAAAAAAAGGATGTTTAACAAACAAAAACGCCGAATTCACTTAGCAGAATCCACCACGGCAAGCTGCTGCTTTCTTGTTCCACCTTTGCGGTCGTTGTGGAATTATGGCACGTGTTGTTCGCATTTGGATTTGGAGTTGTTGGAGGAGAACGGCAGAACTAAATGAAAATAAAATTTAAACATAATTTCAAACAAACAGTCTCTTTCGAATCGGAAGTGCACATTGATGCTTTTGCGAGTTTGATCTTGTCGCCGTATTTCTTATAAAACGCGTTTCTATTCGTCGAGAGCCAGTAGTTGGATTCTATAGCTGCGCGATCCTCCTCCTAAATCGAAAGCACTAGTTTACGAACACTTATAAAAATAACTCACATTCACAGTTTCCAAATCAATAGGACGACCATAATAACGAGTGGGAATGTTCGCAGCGTCACGTCTGGCAAGTGGCGCCTTTTCAGTGGTGACTTCAGGCATATGGGGCATCTCGTTGCGTCCAGTCAAACCTAAAAAGAGGTCATCAAGTGTTATATCACAAATCGCTTACCAAATTTACGCCTCTGCAGGTTAGCGGCAAGGGTTGCAAACTTGGCATATGGTGGACTGTTCTGGCGATGAAGTGGCAAATGTTCGATGTCCAAGATACGGCATGGATTATCGAGCGTCGACTCCCCAAAACGTAAGTGATTAACTGGTAAGTTAAAACGTTAAACTCACTCCCAAGCTTCGCATGCCCTTTCGCACTCGGATTCTCCTCGTTCAACATAGTAACCGTCATTTGGATTCACAACGTTCCTCATTCGGATGCGGTGTGTGATGAAATGCTTTCCATCATCACATATTGGAAGCGGCAGACAGTTCACCGTATTCTCTGCATATTTTCTGCATTTCTAAAAAGAAAACTTATAATAACAGCTACATAAGTTGTGCTAAAATCAGGAGGTTAAGCTACCTTTGTCCCATAATCGAATCGATGTGCCAAAAACGGTGAGCTCTTGTTGGTGACTATGTCAAAAGGAAAACCGGTGTATTCCCATACAACTTCCATTGATCCCAGGTTTTCCTTTTTATTTTCCACGTGTTCGGCAAACCATCTAAAACATTACAATTAGGTTTGCGATAAAAACCTTTAAAAGTCTACTTTAAAGTTAAAAGCTATTGCTGGCTGCCAAAATTTTATTCTTTAAAGCCAAATTCTAAGATGTTCATAGCATTAAAAACACTCACTTCGGGCTTTCACCTCCCAGTGGAGATTCGACAACTGTACAAATGTCTTTTATGTCACTCCAAGGCAGATATTGGTGCGAGGGGTATCTTATAACCGCCTTCTTGATGGTGCAGAAACGTCCACTCGTCAATGCCATGCAATCTTTCTCCGTGTCCTCTCGGCGACAAATCGGGAGCACAATTGTCTAAAAATGTAAATATGGTAACAAACAGACAAAAAAAGTCACCTGAATTTCGACCAGGTTAGGCACAAATGAATCGCCATTGCTTGGAACGGGTGCAGGTGGCACTTTCCTTTTTCTTCTATTATCCCGTTTATGCAGAGCTAAAACCCAAGCTCTAACAAATTTAAAAAATCCAGTCACCAAATTGCCGATTGACGTCTGGTAGCGCTGGTAGCGATTCTTGCGTTGTTGTCTTGGTTTCCTTACTCGTTTTCTCAATGGGTTCTTGGGGTGCGGGTTGTGATTGAGAGGCAACGCCCTTTTCAGACAATCGGTACACCTTTCTAATAGGGATGCACTCCACGTTCTTCTTTTCGTTCTAAAAACATAAATATTCACCGATTAAAAATCGATAATTTGAAAAAAACCAACACAAAAAGGTTCCTCGGGTTGCACCTGAATACGAAACCCTTGTTTCTGACATCAGATTTGTTGACTATTGCTCCGGTAGTGCGGCAATCCGAATTGCATTTCTCGACATCTTTGCACTAAATAAAAGAAACACATCATACTCTGTCAAAGAATAGTTTACTGGTTAAAAAATTAGAGGTTTTTAAAGTCAGTAAAACTTACATAAGCCTCGAAGAATGTTTCAGTGTTGAAAGCGTGAACGAACTCTTTTCCAGCATTATTTTCGTTTTCCCACAGATGAACAAAACAAGCGAACGGAAATCCTTTCGTGCATTCCTAAATTAAAAAGAAATAAAAACATATTTACCAACACTTTAGAATAACACGATAAATACTTACCTTCTGAGCAGCACTAGCTTCATTTGTTGTCAAGATCAACAACACTCCGAGAAGGTGCAACTGATAAACGAGCTGCAAAAAAAACTTTAATAAGAGTTAAAGTTAACTTTATAACAACTTTAGCTTTAGATAAAAAATTGTCGTGATTAAATTTGAGCAAAAAGGCTACAATTTTGCATCTACACAAAAAGCAGCGGTTAAATTCCTAGGGAACTGTAAGTAACGTACTGGTATTTAGCAACTACAAGCACTTCTAACAAAATACACTCACACTCGACATAACGACTCGCTCAGGAGCGAAAATTTCGATATAAGGACCCTAAAATGTGCCCCAAATTCTCTGCGTAGCTGCCCTGAGTTGTACTGACGTGGTCACTGATTACATTTGGCTGGGGCTGCCACGCAGAAATTTTGAATGCCTTTTAGAAAGTCAAAGTCGCTGAATCGAGAGTCGTTATATCGAGACTAGACTTGTTAAGATAAACAGTGAAAATCAATTTATAAGGCAACTGCCAAAATGAGAAAATAAGAAGGATATAAAAAACCAACCATGTTTGGATAGCAATTGAATATTTTGAAGACTGAAAGGTTCAGTGATGTCTTTTTATCTGGTCGTTAAATTCAAATTTTCCCATTCCAATGTAAATAGCTTGAATTGAAACAGTTACAAGCAAATAATCTGTTACTGTTTTAAAATTATTCATTTAAAAGGAAATCTTAGATCGCTATTTTTATGGTTTTGTCGACTTACACGTAGCACAGAAGACAACAACAGAAAATCCACGCCCCATTGTCGCAAATATTTTGTCTCATTGGATCACATTTTGTCAGCGGTTAGCTGAAATTTTGGGTCTGCAATCTATATCAGTTTAGCTACCGTAGCCTAGCTGCAGTAAAAACTACAGTCGGCGTTGCTTGAAGAGGAGCTACCCGTACTCTGATAGAAATTAAAACCAGCTTTCAGCTTAATTGAAACATTGCGACTTTGACTTTCTAAAAGGCATTCAAAATTTCTGCGTGGCAGCCCCAGCCAAATGTAATCAGTGACCACGATGAAAGCCGTCTAAGAAAACTCGAAACGGATCAAGGAATCACATACGACAAGATGCTCACCGATTTGGTCGCCGCTCGACCGGGAGGTTCGACTGGTCGACTGTTCGCGCTGCTTCGGGAGAATGGTTGTACAAGAAAGGGGTGAAAAAATACGGTTGGTGTTTGCGATCCAGCTATTTAAACTTTACGATTTAGTAAGCTAAGCAGGCTGACAACAGAATGGAAGGTCAACAAAGATGAAGCTGTGCGACTGATCGACTTCCACATCGTCTTGAAGAATATCGAAGCAGCACAACAAATTCTCAAGCAAGCAGCGATCGACTTAGCGTCTTGGGCTGGTGAGTCGTTTTTTAATAAAGAATAATGAGGCTTGAACTGTTATAATGAATTGTATTTAGTGGAAGAAAAAGTTGAGCCATCGAAAGCGAACGCTATTTGGGGTGCTTTGTGTTCGTCACCGTTCTCTCGTGCGGTCATTCGAATCTATCAGTGCCCAAAGCTGTAATATCTGTAATATTTGTAAATGCAAGTAGTTGGCCATGCCGAATTCATCAACATTCAGTAAAATGTCGCAAAGTCTGCGCCAGTCTGTCGTTTTTGATCGTTTTTCGCGCGCTAGCTGGATGAGGCTCATGTCATTTTTTAGATTCATCAAAGCAATCATGGTGAAAAATTGGGTTGCTGCCGACGTCATTGCTGCTGATATGGCCAAGCGTTTTACTTGATCGCGTATGCCCAGGCATTGTTCATTAACAAACTCGTCAATCAATATCTGTTTAGGATACACTTGCTCTACTATCGGCTCTCAATCAAATTGTAGCTACTGGTTTGGATCTGCTGACAAACACGCTTTTTGCAAGAAGTTTCACTGAAGACGATATCGATGAGGTGTCTTTATGGTCTATGCAAATAACAAGCTTTTTTGATTTGGGTTAACCTGATCTAATTGTTGAGAACAGTTCCACTTGATCCTTGAATTTAAGGCCAACTTAAGTTTTTTCATACAGGTCTTGCTTTTTCATTCAAGTATGATTTGATGTTCCACATGTACATTGTTTAGATTTACCAAGTTTATTCAGAAATTGACTAAGAACAGTTTAGTTCAACATTCTTATATGCCTCGGGCTTTTACCGCACGCCTTTTTATAACATGAATTTTTTAATCTTAAAGAAATGGGAATGGGGCAAATGTTGACTTTTTTGCGCACGTTTTCGCCTATTATAACATGAACTGCTCTAGACCTACAGAATCAATTGGTTTGGATTTGGAGTAAAAAAACTACCATCAAGATGACAGAAAAACCACAAATTGGACAGATTTGACATTGAAAGAAAGGCAACAAATTTGACAACACTTTATCTAACAAGAGAAATTTCCTATAAACAATGAGCGTCACGAGCTGAATACAAAATTTGCTTTGAATTGTGTGGACGATTGGTCCAAGATGAAGTCTAAAAGAGAAACATTTTAGAAAATCGAAAATCTTCAGATTTCTGAGGATCAAAATTCAGCTTAAGAGAGCGAAATCTCAAGCTTGCGTGTTGGTCTTATACCGCGAAAAATATACATGAATCTTTTTGATGTTTGATTGAATACTCTATTCTCAAACAAAAGCCTTATAACCGTGGATTACTACCCTTTTTGGTTTTGCTCTGCCCATTTTTCATCTTGGTTCTCACGATCTCGTTTCTTTTAGCTATCTAACTCTTTGCTCGTCCCTTCTATACAAGCTTTTTTTAGAACGGTAGTTTGAATGATGATAAACCCAGCAGAGATCATGGAAAGTCTTAGGAAGGAGCAACTGAATGTAAGCATTTAGCCTATAATTCGCTTTAAATATTGTAGTTTGTGATTGCTTCGCAATGTACGTTTTGTACCAGTTTTGTTTCAGCCGACCTCTTCTGTCAACTTCCTCGAAGCACTTCCCGATGTCCTTTTCTATGCGGTGATTGAGAAACTTCCTGCACGCGTCATCGAAAAGTTTCATGCCTGCGTTTTCTAATTCTAATCTTTGCTTTAGCACTGTTCGACTACTCTCAAGGGATTGCTATAGAAGGGTCGAGCTGCGCAGAGCAAGACTTCCTCGCGTTTGTTTCAATTGGCTTGATGTTTATAGGAACGAGGTAAGGATTGTTGCGTTAGTTACAAAAACGTAGGTTGTAGTTTTCCTATGGCTTTGGAACAATCACCTCATATAAGGAAACAATCGAATCAACTAATTTGATGCACCATTTGGAGTATTTGGCAAAGCGTGTGACTTTCAAGAGACTCGTTTTGGTTAGTGTTCCCTGGTATTTTCTAGTACTTAAAATGTGTCTTTAAGTTTGACGTCGATTGGGAAGTGTTTGCAAATTGCAAGGCATTATTCCGATGCGAGGAATTAGCTTGTTATATCGAAGAGACGACTCTTTCGCCGGAAAGATTCGTGGATGTATTTTGCCGTATAAGGCCTACGCACCAGCTAACTATTTTTGTAAGTTTGTATTGAACAAATCAAAATTAGCCTGATGAAGGTGAATGGAGACAAACAAAATGTTCCTGTTACGAGCGATTTTTTCACCAATAATCATGCGGTTGGATTGCAAAATGTTTGCATTGATGGTTGGGGCAAGGCCATGGTTGATCCATTAAATGACACGGTTTGTTTTGATTTAACCGTCAAGGAATAATTTTTGCTACGACGCTTACTCCGCATAATATTTATTGTTTAGATCTTGTCGAATTTTTGTCTTTTGAGTTTTGACGGTGTATTTCAAAGACCTGGATGCACTCTTAATGGGGTTTTAAGGATGATCCAAAACTGGTACACTTCAGAGCGTCAAATTGATGAAATTAACCTTCGAGCAGTTGGTGGGAAAGCAGAACTCCAAAATGTGAGCTCTTTTAACGCTTTTATTTTGCTGAAGATAATTTGGATGCATTTCTTAAAAGGACCGCAAGGTCGACTCAACTATTCTCGTCTAGATTGCCTAGATAGTCCTTGAAGCAATTCGAACTTTTCCCGATAAAATGTTCAATTTTTAGTTCTTGCGCAACTTACTTGGATTGTCAGGTGTTAAACTGATTGAGAATGCTTCAACTTCCAACTATCATGAGATTCGTTTGAAAAGAGCAAATGGGGACGTCGTTCAGCTTAACGTTGATGCTAATGTAGACGCTTCTGCACCAGGCAGTATTGGGTATCTTTTAGCATGGATTTCTCTAATATATGGATTACGTTCGATGAAACTATTTATTACAAAATTGTTTTAGAATCTACATGGTTCGACTAGTGCCCGGCCCGGAAGCTGGCTCATATAGATGGTTTCATGATGACATATGATAGTGCACAAAATTTATTCCTGATTTTGAGTTGAAAGCTGTAGTTTGTTCACTATGGATTTGTAATGTATTTTAAAGGTTAATTTTTCATGTTGTAAATTTTTTGTCCTTTGTGCTTGCAAGTAGGATCAATAAACTATTTAGAATCAGGTTTTCCATTCCAAAGCCTTTACCCGATTTCTTTGAATCAAAGACGACTCCTTCGCTATGCGTATCCTTTCATCATACACACATACACGTAGGGATACACGTAAGGAAGGAGTTATGTTTGATTCAGAAAAATCCGGCCCGAAAGGCCCTGGAACACACTGCAATCGCGATCAAAGTGAAGTGTTTTTAATTCAAACTTTTTCACAAGCTTGATAAAAGCTGAATCTATCACTCTTAATTAGTGAATGACAAGCCAAATAAAGATATAAATGTAAGAATTTGAAATATTGACTTTAAAAATTGCTTGTTGTTGACAAAATTCTTAGTTTTATCAAGAAGATTGTATTTCTCGAGAATGAATTGCTCATCTCGATCGAGAATTTCTCGAGATTATCCGGTTTTTCAAAAGATTTTCATGACAAAAAAGTTTCAGAGAGCGAGAAAATTCATTTTCTGAAAAAACTTTCAATTACTCAAGTCTATTGTTAAATTTCGTACTAAATTTTTCTTATAATTAGAAAGAAAAGAAAATAAAATAGACTTGTCACCTGATTTCAATTGAATTAAATGTTGATCAGGGGATTAAGAACAAAGAAAAAAAAAATCCACTTTTAACACAAAAAACAAAATTTTTCGATTCCAGTGTTTAGTGTAGGCGGAGATGTAGATCGGATTAGCGGAATAGATCATTTTTCTGTTCAGATTTTGATTGAAAAATAGAGAAAAATTCACTAGATTGGATTGGAATTGGAATATGTATAAAAAATTATTTATTATTTTATTATATATTAAAAATTATTATTTTGTTAAATTTCGTACTAAATTTTTCTTATAATTAGAAAGAAAAGAAAAGAAAATAGACTTGTCACCTGATGTCGCCGAGAGGACACGGAGAAAGATTGCATGGCATTGACGAGTGGACGTTTCTGCACCATCAAGGAGGCGGTTATAAGATACCCCTCGCACCAATATCTGCCTTGGAGTGACATAAAAGACATTTGTACAGTTGTCGAATCTCCACTGGGAGGTGAAAGTCCGAAGTGAGTGTTTTAAATGCTATGAACATCTTAGAATTTGGCTTTAAAGAATAAAATTTTGGTAGCCAGCAATAGCTTTTAACTTTAAAGTAGACTTTTAAAGGTTTTTATCGCAAACCTAATTGTAATGCTTTAGATGGTTTGCCGAACACGTGGAAAATAAAAAGGAAAACCTGGGATCAATGGAAGTTGTATGGGAATACACCGGTTTTCCTTTTGACATAGTCACCAACAAGAGCTCACCGTTTTTGGCGCATCGATTCGATTATGGGACAAAGGTAGCTTAGCCTCCTGATTTTAGCACAACTTATGTAGCTGTTATTATAAGTTTTCTTTTTAGAAATGCAGAAAACATGCAGAGAATACGGAAAACTGTCTGCCGCTTCCAATATGTGATGATGGAAAGCATTTCATCACACACCGCATCCGAATGAAGAACGTTGTGAATCCAAATGGCGGTTACTATGTTGAACGAGGAGAATCCGAGTGCGAAAGGGCATGCGAAGCTTGGGAGTGAGTTTAACGTTTTAACTTACCAGTTAATCACTTACGTTTTGGGGAGTCGACGCTCGATAATCCATGCCGTATCTTGGACATCGAACATTTGCCACTTCATCGCCAGAACAGTCCACCATATGCCAAGTTTGCAACCCTTGCCGCTAACCTGCAGAGGCGTAAATTTGGTAAGCGATTTGTGATATAACACTTGATGACCTCTTTTTAGGTTTGACTGGACGCAACGAGATGCCCCATATGCATGAAGTCACCACTGAAAAGGCGCCACTTGCCAGACGTGACGCTGCGAACATTCCCACTCGTTATTATGATCGTCCTATTGATTTGGAAACTGTGAATGTGAGTTATTTTTATAAGTGTTCGTAAACTAGTGCTTTCGATTTAGGAGGAGGATCGCGCAGCTATAGAATCCAACTACTGGCTCTCGACGAATAGAAACGCGTTTTATAAGAAATACGGCGACAAGATCAAACTCGCAAAAGCATCAACGTGCACTTCCGATTCGAAAGAGACTGTTTGTTTGAAATTATGTTTAAATTTTATTTTCATTTAGTTCTGCCGTTCTCCTCCAACAACTCCATATTCAGATGCGAACAAGACACATTATAATTCCAGAATGACCGTAGCAGAAAAAAGTTGGCCGTGGTGGAAAATTCTGCTGAGTGGGTTTGACCTTTTTGTTTTAAAGTATTTTGTTTAGTCGTGCTTGTGTGTCTTGCAGTTGTTTGCTTCGTTATCCTTCTCATTGTCAGTAGGATCGGAGAAGAAAGTCAGTTACCTTTTAAGAAGGCAGTTACCTTTTTCTTTGGTTTAATTTAATTATTTTTCTTGGTCACGGTACGTTTCGCCACTTTTAATTTGCAAAATTTTTCCTGGAATGCATATTTTTTACGATCTTTTTTTAGACTATTGTTGCTCGGTATGAAAAAATAGTTTGAAAAAGCTGGATATGTTATGTATTCATTGATATGTAGTCCAGGAAAGCGTAAATACAAAAGTGTCGAAATTAATGGCTATCAATTTAACTTCAACATCCAGACAAATAGTAATAAAGAATAGGTTTTTGGAGATATGTTAATATGGAGGTCTCTATCGTTTTCCTCAATTTTGGTTTCTTACAAAGAGTCATTAATTTCTTTTTCAGATACAGCACATGAGCTCGAAAACGGATCGTATGAAGGTTTGTTAATTTTTCTCGTCTAATTTTATTGTTCTCTTTGACAATCATTGTTTTTGCTATGAAATTCCTTGTTAACAAGGTACGCCATTAGAATTTCACGAAATTTTTACCTCAATACATATTCTGCTATCTTTTTTGCGTGCTGTCGTTTTCGACATTGGAAAAGATATAACACGTGGATATCGGATTAGAAAATGTTTAAAACATGGTTTAAATATTCCAAAGATTTTTGGAAATGTTATTCGAGGAAAATGATGCGAAAAAGTAAAAGTGTAAACATTAGCAGAAAAAGTAAAACATTAGCTGGATTTTAACTTTTATTCTTACGAGTGATGTATTATCAATTCTTCTTTAGATAGACTGCAGGCGGGAGGGAACAAAAAGCCTCCACAAAACAAAACCAAAAAAGTGTTAGAACCTGCATTTTATTTTCCCTCGCATTCAATTGATCCAACTCCTCCAAATACGGTAAATTCTTATTTTATTCAAAGGTCTATTTCATTTGTTTAGTCTGTTGTTCCGAACTTGGAAGGCTGCTTTTCCCAAGCCACATCTGAGGTAACTTTATAAAATAGGAAGATGGGAATCTATCTGAAAAATAAAGTCTATAGTTAAAAGGGGTTTTATCAATTAATGGTCAATTTTCTTATTTTTAGACTTTGAAAAGCCAAGGAGAGATTTGGCAAAAGAAGATGGACGAGAAAGAATTGGCTGAACGTTTTGGTGGGTTTATTTGTTTTTAGATTTAAACAACTCTAAACTCCTGAAATGCTAGTGAATTATAAACTGTTTTGTTGAATGATTTAATATATTGATATCGTGTGATGTCGTGATATCGTTCATTTCAAAACCCAGAGCCAATTCGATTCTCTTGAAACATTTCTGGGAATGAAGGGTTAAAATAAACTCCGTAAATAGGTTCTACGATCAATGAAGTTTGGATCTGTTCTAATTCCAACCATTGGTTCCAACTATGATCTATTAACTTCAATTTAAAAGGTACTGTGCTTTGACTTTCAACCTTATGGCAGTAATAATGAACTTTACTTTACTCCGCTGAAACATTTTTGTGAGCTCTAAAATGCTCAAGTTTTTCTGTGATCCGTAAAAAGTCTAAAAAGATTTGTTTCAGTAAACGAAAATGATTGATTTGATTTGAAAAATTGACAAAAAGATATCATTTGGCCTTGGATATAATCATTGATACTCTTTTTGGGCGAATATAAAAAGGGAAACAAAGTTTCAGAGAAGATCTAAATTTGAAAATTGCTTACTGAAAAACCTTTCGTGCTTAAAGTATTTTACTGTGAAAGTTATTTAGAAATTCTTATCGAAAATGCGTTTTCAATCGTTCCTCATTCTCATCGTGATGCTTCTCGCTATGTCTGTCACTCTTGCGCTTCCATCGTGAGTTTTAGATCATAGCTAGAGGTAGATCAGGCAAGAAGATTGTTCCATCAGGCAAGAAGCCAGACCAGACCTTGGTTAAGAAGCCAGACCTTGGTTTGGCTTCTGGCCTAGCCTTTCGAGTCCAGAAGCAAGCTTCTGACTTGGCCTCTGAACGTGTCTAACAAGGGAAGTGCACCAGTTTAAGATGAGCTTTTGGATCGAGACTCAGACCATTCGATGTCAAATTCCACGCCGATTCCGAATCTGCTTTCCGTTTTTGCAAAATGGCTCTCTATCAAAAATTATAAGTCTTTTAAATTTGTAGCCAAAAATGAAATTTTCCTAAGAAAAAAACAAAGGTTGGAATTGAACCCAAGCAAGAAAAATGAAGAAATCGTTTTGTATAGAAGCCCCTCTACCCGCTGTGACACCAATCCACCTTTGACTGGCACTGAAGAAGCCCACTATATGAGGAGATCCCATTTCGGCGAGGAAACTTTCATTTTTAACTACAAATTTAAAATTTTCTATAACTTTTGATAGAAAACCATTTTGCAAGAACGGAAGCAGCTTCGGAATCGGCGTAGAATTCTGCATCAAATGCTCGATTCAGAAGCTCATCTTAAGTTGGTGCGCTTCCCTTGTAACTTTTAGAAGTCTAGTTGGATCTAGTTTCCTGCCCCGTAAAAATTACAAAGCCATGTGTGACGAAACCTACAGGTTTTACTTGTGTTTTCTTAGAAATCAGGCATGTACCTACCGTAAATACTGTAATTGGACCCCATGGGGTACTATTTTTTCCCTCCCCCTCTAGGGTGGGGTACTATTAGAGGGTGGGGCACTATTAGAGGGTGGGTTACTATTTTACACCACTATTCGAGTTGCCAAATCAGGATACATTCAAATAATTTGTTCAAAAGCAGACTTTTTCTTTAGTTTTTATTGGTTTTAGCCATTTGAAAATTTAACAGCAAAACGAAACAAAAACAACTAACAAGCGAAATCAATAGAAACATCCGAATCAATGAATTTATCATTTTCTTGATCATCAATTCCTCGATGTCCTTGAAATCCCGTCGATGCGAGCGGCTCCAAGAGGTCCTTGATTTCTGTCTCTGTCCGAGCATTTCTCATCGCCTGTACAATAGATTAAAGATAATAATTAAAGATAAGTCCACCGGAAGAGCGTTACGAGTATTCCGCCGTGATCTCATTATCGAAGCACTTGCTTTTCTTCTCTTTCCAACAGAGCAATAACTTTGATTGGAACTTTGTCTCGATTTTTTTCGTTCATCGTTTTCCGAGGCACCACGACAAAAGGGCGTAACTTTTTCCCATCGGAACGAGCAGTGAGCATCACGGATATATTCATCTTGTCGTAGCCGCGGGTGAGAACACGATCTTCTTTGGCCCCAACCGCTTCGGTGCACTTGCTCATCGAAGCATCCAGCCAAACCGCCGTCTCATCGCAAGCAACAATGGGCTTGTAGTCGCCTTCTTTGATTGTCTTGTTCAGCCTCAGAATGTGCTCGACGATAGCCTCTCAAATTCGCTCGACAGCTTTTGACAAGTTGTTGTTGGTGCCCTCAAAGAAAGTTGGTGACGCCTCAAGAACGACTCCATCCAGCCATGGCTTCTTTTGAAAGAAATTTCAGCTTTTTCGAATCGATTAGCCGCTTCATTCCAGATAATTCGGCGTGTCACCCGTTTCTTTTCGGCTCGACGATCCCGTATCCATTCAGCCAAACCGATATCAATCCCCTCCGAGTTCAAGTGGCTTCTAAGTGGTTCAAGTCTTCTAAGTCTTCTTTATGATTTTGATGTTACTTTGTTGCACTTGTTGAGATCTACAATAATAAAGATTGGCCCACTTAGAAGGAAGTTATGGCGAGCTGCGCAAAAAACTTTGGCGCAAAGTAGCCACCCCAAATTTATGGAATAAAATTAAAAATACAAACGATTTCTGAAAATACCTGAAAATTTTCCGCTTTAAAAGCGTTGTTTGTAATTACGCGTTAGGTGGGGGTGGGGTATTATTTTTTCCCTCCCCCTCTAGGGTGGGGTACTATTAGAGGGGGGTCCAATTACAGTATTTACGGTAGCTTCTGAACTGGTTTGGCCTGGCAGTACTACCATTATTGTAGTAGAAGCATTGAAGGTAGATCCTGCTTCAACTCAAACTAAAATTGTAAAGCCAAAAAAAATTTCAGAAAGCGTGGGACTGATCTAACAGCTGATGCAGAAGTGGCGCTCCAAGGATCAAGAAAATAAGCGGACATTTTTATGTATTCAATTCAATGCAGAATTTTGACAAAGCCAGGGATAAAGTTGTCAACGTACAAAGAATCAATCAACAATTGCTTGATCCATTACTGGTTGCACTCGTTTGCAGTTGCGGCCAGGCTAAATTTAGCAGTTTGACAAAATTTGAACTTTAAAATATGAATAACTTTAGGAATCGTACTACTAAGTTTTTTCTTTGAAAGCCCTACCGATCAAGATTCAGATTTTTGTGTATATCGTAGAACAAACTCCGGAGTGAGATCAATCGTTCCCGGTTTACATGCGCAAATGTAAAATCGTTTACAAGAAAGTTCAGCATGTCAACAATTTGTATCATTTAAACCGGGGAAAATAAAAATTTGCGGAAACAAGGGATTCAATCAAATAATTGGCCTTGATTTGTGAAAGATTTAAAGAGAAAATCAACATTGCCTCTCAAAATCATTTTATTTCCTTTTTCCCAATCAAGATTCAACATTTAGATGTTATTCAAAACTTTGAGGCTATTGATTGTTCTTTTTTCAGTTCTAAAAGGTTTGCTTTATATCGGATACAATTTAATAAACTCATAGAAACGAAAAGCGTGAACGATTGCAACGATGGAGTTTACATTTGCGCATGCAAACCGGGATGGATCGATCTCACTCCGGAGACGGTTTGTTCTACGATATACACAAAAATATGAATCTTGATCGGTAGGGCTTTCAAAGAAAAAACTCTAGTAGTACGATTCCTAAAGTTATTCATATTTTAAAGTCCAAGTTTCGTCAAACTGCTAAATTTAGCCTGGCCGCAACTGCAAACGAGTGCAACCAGTAGTGGATCAAACAATTGTTGATTGATTCTTTGTACGTTGACAACTTACTTGGGTTTTGAGGTCACGATCTTTAAGACCAAAAGAAAATCAAAAATCCAGAAAAAAAGCTCTCAAAATGTTGGCGACGCGAAATGTGAACAAACTCTATTTTGAGCTCAAATTCATTTTGCGAATTTATTTTTATCATTTCTAGCAATAAATCTAAGAAACAAACACAAAATAAATGAATTTTCTCGAAAAAAAAAGTCTGTAGTGAGAATCGGTAACGATTATTACCCTTCCCTCCTTTAAGATAAGCTATGAGAGTATTTTAGTTTAAACTTCGACTTTAAGTTTACCATTTGCAACACGACCACGAAATGCTGGGTGAATTTCACCCAATGTTTCAGCACTCACTAGAGAAACGCATGAACTCTGGCCTTTCAAAACAAGATATTTGGTTTATTTGAGGCGTCCCCACACTCGCCTAAAAGATTCCCGGTGATGTAGTTGATAAGAGGCTTGTATCAAGGCGCAAAAAAAGTGCACAGGTTGTATCGGGAGGCTTGCTCGGATTCAAGATTTCAAAGAAAATACAAATTCAGAAAAAAAGCCCTAAAAGGGTGGTCACGCGAAATGTGAATAAACTCTCTTTTTGTGCTAACATTAATTTTCCCAATTAATTTTATCATTTCTAGCAATAAATCTAGCAAATAAACAAGAAATAAATGAATTTTCTCCAAAAAAAAAGTTTTTAGTCAGAATCGGCCACGATTATTACCGCCCTTTAATACCTTTAGCAAACGACAAACATCGAAATTCAGAAATGGAAATCCAGTTGCGGCTTGCTTGAATCCAAATCACTGACTGGTTCTTGACGATAGTAGTTTTTGCTGAAAAACCTATTAGAACAAAATAGCCATATGCCGACAGGCCATATGCCGAAAATCATGACGATTTTGAGTTAAGAGTTGATTGAGCCAACGTTGAGCTTGACTTTTTTGATTAAATGATTGCATAGCTGATACAGAATTCTGCTATATCACCAGGTGCCCGACCACAAAGGTGACGATGTTGAAGAAGCAATTTTGGTTCTTCGAATTCTACCAGAAGATACTTGGGCTTCGAGATCACGATCAATGTGAATAAACTCTATTTTGTGCTAAAATTCACTTTACCAATTCATTTTTATCATTTTTAGCAATAAATCTAACAAATAAACACGAAATAAATGAATTTTCTCCAAAAAAAAAGTTTTTAGTCAGAATCGGCCACGATTATTACCGCCCTTTAATACCTTTAGCAAACGACAAACAGCGAAATTCAGAAATGGAAATCCATTTGCGGCTTGCTTGAATCCAAATCACTGACTGGTTCTTGACGATAGTAGTTTTTGCTAAAAAACCTATTAGAACCAAATAAGATTTTCAATACCTGAACTGAAGATATCCATATTTTTCGGAATTCGATTCCATCTCTTGATAGAATTGCTTTTGAAGGTGCGAGAAATCCGGACGTTCTGTCGGTTCCTCCAACCAACAACTCTCGATGAGAGAACTTCTGCAATCAATAGTGAAATGATTCTATTGTAACCGTTAAAATACATCAATTTCGGAGTTGATTCTGAAAGTTCTAATCTGTTTCCATCTTCCAGAAACGATAAAACATCAGTGGGATCCATTGACATATAGGGCGTTTCACCAAAGGAATACATTTCGAAGAGAAGAATTCCAAAAGACCAGCTGGAAATCGACTTATTACTCCTTGAGCTTGATCTCCATCTCAAGATTTGCATAAATGAAAAATTTGAATTTAAACTTTGTGTAAGAAATATATCTATACTTTGATCTTTTTTAATTTCTTGTGAGACCGTATCTCGGTGTGGTTCAATGGTAGATGTCTTGAAAACGCACAATTTATCAAAACTTTCCCTTATTAAATAGTAATGGTTCCAATATGGTTCCAAAATGGTTCGAATGTGGTTCCAATATGGTTCCAATATGGTTCCAATGTGGTTCCAATGTGGCTCGAATAAGGTTCCTTCCAATATGGTTCCAAAATGGTTCCAAATAAGGGCAAACTTCAAACTGGAGCAACCTGACACTATCACAATTACTTCAACACTTGCGTGTGAAAAAGGAGCCCACAACTGACTCAAAACAAAGCTTAAATAATGGGTTTTTAAGTAGACAAGCTACGACAAACGGAAAACTGAATATCGTCTAGTGGCTGATTACGGTAGTTTATCCATCAACTTTGAATTTTAACTTGTGTATTGAATTTTGACTAAATGCAGAGCAGTGGCAATTCGCCACACCTTGATTAAATTCTCTAACTGATCTAGAATCTTTCAATGTTTCACTTTCTCCATTTACTTACACATCGCTCTTTGTCGAGAAACAAGCCGATTCGATCGACTCGGGCGCCATCCATTTGATTGGCAATTTCTCTCCATAAGACTTGAAGAAATCAGTTTCTTTTATCGATCGACATAGGCCAAAGTCAGAGAGCTAATAGGGTTGAATTAAATCTCTCACTGACTTTTTCTAAACCTTTGCCATTTTCTTCTTTGTCACAAGAATATTTCTGGCAGCCACGTCTCGATGAACGATCATTTTGCTCGAGAGGAAGGTCTACAGGTAGGTTTACAACACAATATTTCTAAAAAAGTTACCAAAGCATCACTGATTTGCCATGCCACCGGTACCAGATCATTAAAGTCCAAGGAATCATCCTAAAGTTTAGTTTTCGATTAATCTATTGCCAAGATTATACAGAGTGACAAGAAATAAGCTGTCCTTAAAATTCAAAGCATAATTCTCATTATAAGTGGGTAAACAAAAAACTTTTAAATCTATTATAGAACTATTGCAAAAGAAACTGCCGATTTGACAGTAAATTCAAAAAAAAGATGGCATTCGATGGTGACATGATCACAATGGAATATTTTCGCAAGATTTCGAGCAGATTGGCATGGATCGGCCTGAAGAACGTCCCTCAGCTTGGCTTCGTTCACGACTTCTGGCCTCGAACCGTGCTCGTAATCTTCCAAAGTCTCGTCTCCCTCTCGGAATCGTTGAAACCAAGTCTGACACTGCCTGAGAGACAAACTGCCATCTCCGAAGGCAGCACAGAGAGAACGATGCGATTCGGCAGCAGACTTGGTTCCTTTTCTCTACAAATTTGGTTCCTTTTCTCTACAAATTTGGTCCTCTTTTCTCTTTTGGTTCCTTGCGAGACAACGATGCGATTCGGCAGCAGACTTTTCAATTTTGAAGTTAAACAGTAATGCTGCTCGTAGCATAAACTTTTGCTCGACCATGATCTAAATAAAAAATATAAGCATTTAAAAATAAAATAAACAACAACCAAAAAATTGAAATGTCGAAATAAATAGCAAACAAATATGCGAACAAAACATAAAAAAAATAATGCCGTTAGCATCGCTCGTTTCTGATAAATGAGAGCTGATACCCAACGGTAGTTTCTTTTGCACCACCCTATTATTATATTAGGTTGATGCATAAGTCTTTTCGTTTTTTTCGTACTTCTGTTAAAAAGTAACAAATTCACCAATTAATCTATAGTTTGCTCTATAAAAAAAGTGTTTTTTTGTTCAATTTGCATCTTTTTAAGTCAATTTCGGTTCACTTTCAAGCAAATTCGAGAGTGAAAAACGCCTTTTTCGTAAAAATCTATAAAAAACTCTACGGAAAAATTGGCTGAATGAATTTCTCTGAAATTTTGGCGAAATATCAAACTTTTTTTTCTCTGTCTTTTATCTATTGACACGAAGATAGGTTTTCTTTAGCTAAGGTGTCTAAACCGCATCATCGAGTTAGCCCTTTTTGACTACCCGACTTCATACTCTCAAGAAAATCCAGGCATAAAATATTTTTAAACCCGCTTTAATGTTATTTTGCAGAAAAATAATTGGTTTTTCTAATGAAATCAACCGTAGTTTAATTGGTGCATTTGTTGGCTTGAAACGGCAGACGAAAAGGAACGAAAAGACTTATGCATCAACCTAATAGAACTTTTGAATATAATATTATTGAACTCTCACAAGGGAACCCCACCAGACCCACTGTTTGGCTGGAAACAGTGTTTCTGATGCAGAATTTCACGGTGATTCCGAATCTGTAATCAATCTGTAATCTGTAATCAGCATTTCCTAAATTCTCAAGCAAAAAAAGATATTCAACTTTTTGTTCAATCTGCACCGGTTCAATCTCCCGTGCCGCCATCTTTTGCTTTTTTGCTTGCTTGCTGCTTGCTTTTTGCTTGCTCGCTGCTTGCTTGCTACTTGCTTTATTTGCTTTTTGCTCGTTTATTTCTTTTTTGTGTCAAATTGGTTTTTAATTCAACAAATTGATTATCTTTATAATGATATAATTTGAAATGGCAATAACTATCAATAACTAGCAATAACTATCAATAATTTTAAAATAGCGATAACGCATCAATAAATCCTTTTCGTTTTTTTTCTAAAACGTGATTTGTATCCTCACGGTCTTTTGGTTAGACCAAAATTTCAAATGCATATAATGAATTTGTTTAATTAAAAAACGATTTGACACAAACAAAATCAAAAAAGCAAAGAACACAGCGGCACGGGGGATCGAACACGTCAAAAGAGCTACCAGTTACCTATACCAAAAGAGCTACCTATGACGCAAGAGCACTAACCACTTAGCCAACGAGATATTAGCGGCATGCATGAAATAGGATCTTATTGTGCGCCGATGGGGCCGAGCAAAAAGGCTAAATCTGAGCTGGGCTGTTAAGTTTATAATTTTTTAGCTATCAATACTCTAAGCACAGAAAATTTGAAGTAGATTTGAGGTAGCCCGGAATGGTTGAGAGTCAAGCTTCCAATGGCTTCCAAAAATATCGGATAAAGCTAGCTCTAAGATAATTCGTTTTTATGCTACTGAGAGTACAATAATATTATATTCAAAAGTAGTTTTTTTTGGTTTACCCACTTATAAAGAGAGTTATGCGTTGAATTTTAAGGAAATTTTAGTTTCTTGCAACCCACCATTACCACTCCTTCTTGACTGGGATTGATCTTCCGCACAAGACTCAACAAATCGCCGAGTTCACAAATCCCAGTGACAATAAGCGGACACTTTGGATCAGTTGAGCACGCAACTAACGATAAAAGGTGCGGATGATACTCGAGTTGTTTCATGAATTCGATTTCTTCCAGGAATTCTTCTCTAAAAGATGGCGTTATTGCGGATTTTGTATATATTGGGTTGATGAATTGAAAACTGCTGGCTATTGTCATATGTGACAGTTTGAGCACTTTCTTCAAAAGAAACCCATTTTGGTGTCAATGAAAAAGTTGTAGAGAATCAAAAATCAAGTATCCAAATTTTCAGAACGATTCAAAAACTGGTTTTCAAGAAATGCCAAATTTACGAATTTTCACAAAACTTGCATTTTAAGCGAAACTACTAAGTGTATCTTTTTGGAAATTTGGCTATAAGCCTAATTTTTGATTCTCTACAACTCTTCTAATGACACTAAAATGGGTTTCTTTTGAAGAAAGTGCTCAAACTGGGACATCTCCAGTCCTCGATTTTTGAGTCTCACACACAAACCAAAATCCTACTACGAAAGAGGAATCCGCAAATTGCCTGTAAAATGGGCAGAAGTCGTCAATAATAATGGAAATTATTCGGAATGAATTGATGGTTTTATGTTGAATAAATTTTAATAAATAATAAATAAATAAATGAATAAATAAATTTTCCCAAAATTTCAGAACAATCCAATCTTTGGAAGGTTGATTTTCAAATTAGGCTCAAAATGCACTTTTGTGCTAATTTAATCCATTTTCATTTGAATTTAAGCAAGATTTGAAAAAAAAGGATTAAAAGAAAGAGAACGGTTCGATCGATCGGATTGTTCTGAAATTTTTTGGAAACTATGTAATCGATGAAGCGTTTTATTTTAAAAAGTATGCAATCACTCAAAAATATATTAGCTAGAAACCAGGATTTTGAATGCTAGAAACCAGGATTTTGAACTTGTAGATTAAGGAGAGGGCTTTTGAATGAAACAAACCGTTTTTTGATTGGATAAGCCGTTTTTTCAGAAAACACATTACCCAAAAACGATCGTTTATAACTTGCCAACCTAATGTCTAATTTTCCAAATTTCTCAGTTTCTAGAACACTTGAAGGAGTGCTCTCCCAGAATCCCTTTGAACTCGTGCACACCTTTCTTGGCACTGGAATCACGCTTGTTTACATCGTTTTCTATTTGATTGGCGCGAATGCGGTGATCTTCAAACAACGGCAGTTGTTGATCTCTTTCATGATTTATCTAGTGAGTGTTATTGATAAAGTACAGTGTGCGGCATCTATAGTGTTGCGCTTAATGCATATTTTTGGCTTTTTAAGACAATACATTAACCTAAGCTGAAAAACAACAAGCAATCATAGAATCTACGCGTAATTTTACATAGAATATTTTCAACTCTTGCATTAAAATGCCTGAAAAAGTTCTAAAATAAAACATTTTTCAAAGATTCAAAAAAGGCCACTACCCAAAAACGATCGTTTATAACTTGCCAACCTAATAGATAAGCTACTCCAAAGGTATTTGATCAAGACAGGGATAGCACTAGGTTAAAAACCAAATCCAGGGTCGATTTTGCAAATCCGGTTTTGCTGCAGGTTTTGCTGTTTTTAAAAACTATTGACTTCAAATGATTAAAGAAGCTATTTACCTAGTAAAACAATGCAAATTCGTTTATTCAAACAAACTTTTCTTTCTCAGTTGCCTGTTCGCGGGTCATCTTTACAGCCACAGAATTTCCCTCCATTGAAAGAAAGTAGGAGAACTTGAAAACGGTATTTCCGAACTCAACAAAAATCTACCTGAAGCGATGGATAGATTTTTGCAACAGGTGGCACTCCTTTAAGAAAGCCTTTGTAAACGACGGCAAACGCTCCCTCACCAAGCGTGTCTTCGAACATTTGTAAGCTTGTCGCCGACACTTCCCAGAAATCTCGACCGTCTCTGAATTTTTGGCAAAACTATGATTTAGACTTGAACTTTAGGCCAGTATCTGTCTATATTTTAGTTATTTTTAGTTAGTTTTAGTTAGTTTTTGTCTATACTTTTTATTCTAGAAATCACCAACTCAATCAATTGCATATCCCATTCAAATTTCGACCACACTTTTACCCATCTCTCCTGAGATGGGACTTGAGGGCAACACAGACGGTGGAATAGCCTGTAATCGGTCAACATTTAACCTTTGCTTGATTTTGTAGTTCAAGGATTAAAAGGCACTGTAGTTCTTGTTAAATCTTGAACTTTATCTAGGCTTGTCCAGCTCACAATTAGGCTCAGGCTTAGGTCTTCAAGAAGAACTAATTGATCTATAAGCTTCAAGAACTAATTGATCTTATAGCTGGCTAAAGTTGACTAAAGTTGGTTCAGAATTCCTTTTAAAGGGTGCCTTTTGATTTCTAGGTTCATTACCCCGTTTTAAGTCCAATGTAAAAAAATGGCGTCATGGCGAGGAGCCCAATCAGTGGTCCAAGCCAATACCAAAGTTTCGATGAGAGCTTTTTTGGTGATTCTTCTTCAGCTTCTTCCATGTAAACCGAAACAAAGGCGCCCGCTTCATTCTGCGTTTCGTTATGAACTGATCCATTTTCAGGCGGCTCCCAGCTCACCTAAAGTTTAAGTTTAAGTTTATTGCTATTATTTTATCGTTAAGATGGACTAAAGGTATGTAGTTAGTCTTTGGACTGGCTTTGGACTGGCTTTGGACTGGCTTTGGACAACTAAGACCAGGATAGGATATGTTTTGGCCTGGTTTTGACCCTGGCAAATCCTTGCCTTCAATGCAAGTCTTAACTGAACTTAGCTGTGTGTGTCTTTCAATCATCTATAAGCAATAAACTTCCTAAAACTTACCATAACACTTGTAGCATTGCTCACAATTATTTCGTAACCCAGGGGGTAATCCCCCGGCAAAATGCTTCTGAAAACAAGGTGATCAACTACTAAGCACCACAAAAGTTTACTTCTCATCAATTTCTCCATCAGTTGTATCATTAAACGCGAGTGTGAGTGTTCCATCGAAAAGCGCATGCATGTTGACTTTGATTAGAAGAGATGAAACGTCGTCTGTAATGATTTTTAGCTACAGTTACATCGTCGTGGAGTTTCAGGAGCTCCAGTTTTAAGCTCATTTTTCGATTGACTTACCACAAGTAACTTGGTGCGATAGTGGAACTGCCTCATCAAAGGGACTCCATTTGTTGAGGTATCCGGAAGTGGTGATGATTGTGGTTCCCAAACAGAGATTCTGCTTCACAATTCGCTCTGAACTCAACAGATAGACTCAATAGACTCAATAGACTCAATAAAGCCTGTCTCGGAACAACTCAGATAATGGCAAACCGTTAATTTCCGATGGCATGGTAAATGATCCTAAATTATAACCTGACAAAGTGATATTTGTTGGCTCAGTGGTCACAATTGGAGAGCATCCGGATGGCACTTTCAGTGTGTAAACCCGACTTTCGAGATAAAAATCGACAAACGAGATATTCTCACTAGATAATAGTTTTGTTACAGGATTCCTTTTACAGTAGAGTCATTTTACTTAATCGACATGAGAAAGTGATCCGTATGATTTGACGTAATATGCGGTGAAAGGATGTAGAGATCATATGAGCACTCAGTGTTGATTGGATCCTATTGTAAAGAGATTTATTAAAGTTTTCATCTCCAAACCGAATACATTCCTTTCAAAACATGTACAGGCACATCATTTGGGAAAACAACTATATACCAGACTTCATTTTGTGACTCTTGAATGGGAATTTCGGATGCAAAAGTCGGAAGAAGATTGTACAAGTTTTCATCTAAAGATTGTGCACATTTTCATCTAAAGATTGTACAAATTGTCATCTAAATATTGTACAAATTGTCCTCTAAATATTGTACAAATTGTCATCTGTCATCTAAAGACTAACTACTACAGTATTCTGAAATGAAAGTCCTCAACTTACTGGCCATACCGTCAAAGAGTTGAGGCACGGTCACTAGAAAAGCACTCCGATTTGCAAGTGAAGCATTCGCTGCCCAAACAAGAGCCAATTTTCCATTAGCTCTAGCCAAAGTTCCGTTCCATTCAATTCTCAGCAAGCAACTCATCACGTTTGTTTGATTTGGAAAGGTGAGACTAAATATTTTGGGCTTTAATTGTCTATCAGAAGTTTTCTGACAACTGGTTAACTCTTTGAGAACTCTAGTGTCTTTCAGAGGAGTTGAGTTGAATTGGACATGACTTGAAAGCTCTTAAGATCTTGGAGCTAATGCTTTATGACAATCGGTTTCAAACTGGCTGTTCTTCTCAGATTCCCTCAAAACAAACCTCCTCTTGCAATCGCGATCCCAATGTGAGAATATCTCTGCATTGATCGAAAATGGTACTTCTTTTATTGGTTCGCAATCAAATTGCTTAAACTTTCAACATTGAAGATTACGATATACGCTTAACCTCGCAATAATAAGCAAATTCTATCTCTATCTGACAGCCGGTACATGTTTCGACACAGAACGCACTCAACGGATTGATTTCTAAATGGACAGTAACTTCGTTAAGTCACCAGCTTTGTTTTCTATGCTAAAACCTGGCTTTGATTAGGTTTAGATCTTTGACCGAGTCTTTATGCCTTATGTTTTATGCTTTGTGTTTTATGCTTTATCTTTTATGTCTTCATCTGTATCTTTTAAGGCTTTAAGAGACTTGAATAAGCTTGCAGATCGGAGGCGTGAAAGGCAAAAGTCGGTGAGTTCTCATCAAGCAGTGGATAAGTCGCTTTGCAGTCTGGAAGTTGACGAACGGTGAAAAGATAACTGGTATCAGGGCGGGTTTCGTCGATGTCACTTGGTCGCCAGGAAATCTAAAAAGGACTAGCTTTAAATCATTTACACTTCAGGCTTTCAAATGATGTACTTGAAGCTTAGCTCCAAGCCTGAAGCTTAGCTCCAAGCTTGAAGCTTCTAATGGGTTGTTTAATCGGAAGTAATCTCATAGTTAGAAAGTAAACTGACCATTACACATTGTGCTGTGAACGTCCAAGTTTCAAGCTCGGTAACTCTAAATTAACTAACAATAAATACTACAAAAAAAACATCGTACGTTCTCTCCTCCGTTATATACTCTTTTGGTGTTGAGAAGCTGCAGTCCGGAACCGAAAACCCGGTCAGATATAGAGAGCCTATGTCGATCAATTGTTGAATTTCTATCGAGAATTTTGGTAGTGGTGCATCGGTTGGCTTAAAATATTGTTACTCAACATGGTTGGCTTAAAATATTGTTACTTTCAAGAAGAACAATGTTAGATATTCTGTTAAATGTTAAATATTGCTTCTGTGCCTATCCAGCGCTTGTTTTTTTCCCTTTTCGTTGTACGAATTTTCCAATTCCATTTTTCTGCTTACATGATTTGCAATTTGACCAAAATTCAAGCACGATCCTCTGCACGCGTTGCCTCCAATCCATCCCACTTTTTCATTTTGATCATATTCCCATGGGTTGAACGCAGGAGACCAAATTGAGAAGCGAGCCATGTCCACATACCTTACTAGAATGCCGTGTTTTTCTCAAAGTTGTTGAAAAGGCGTTTCTTTTTTCTCAAAGTTATTGCAAAGGCGGCCAGAAAAGGTCAAAATCTCATTTAACTAGTAAACTATTAAAATTATTGTGATTCTTTTCGATTTACCGTCATTAAAGCTGTTCAAGAGGTTGAACTTGAGGCAAAAAGCGCATTGCGTGTTCGCAAAGAGACTCGTTGCGGTCGACGTTGAGGATGCTTTCAAAATTTGAGCTCTAAATTCTTTTTTGTGTTTAACTTGGGTAAACAAACGTTTCAACAGCTAAACGATTTCCTCCATCCTCCACTTTACCCGGGTCAGCACCAGCAAAAACAGAATAAAGCACATCACGGGCACACGTGAGTTCCGTCTAAAAGATGAGCTTACAAAGTGATTTAGATGTATTTAGTGATTACTAAATATCTAATAATGATTACTAAATATCTAATGATTACTAAATCTTCAAATCTTCAGTTTTGCGATTCAAAACCCACTTGAAATAGCGGGCAATCCGTCAGAGCCATGACCATTCCATGTCCAAACACTTCCATAATAGTATACGGGCTGAAGACCGTTGATGGAGTGACGATAGTGACGAGAAAAGTCTCCTTGACAAGAACAGTAAAGTAATCTTCTGGATGTTGTTGCATTCCGGGAATGACAAGCACTTTTCTTGTGTCTGTAAGTTCAAATTTTTACAAGCCTTGACCTGCTTCTAGCAAAAGAGTTGCCCCTTGGGTTCAAAGAGTAAAAATGCCCTTCTGTCAAAGCTTCAAAGATTTATCGAACATAGTAATTTATACTTAAAACATTTCACTAAAAACTTCATAACCAAACTGCTTAAATTTTGCTAAACGCCGCCACCATGGCCGACTGACTAAGAGCTCTGTGTCTTACTAGAGAAAGGCACCAGGTCAAGGTGGTCTTTTGGATGCGTGCCCAGCGTATTTGATAAAGCTTGGGACGGGGACTCCGAATCCGCTCTTAGTTTTACTAATGGAGTTCTGTATCGCAAGATATCTGGCATCAACATCAACCACCCGAAATCCGACAGTATTTCAGCTCGATTCCTCACACTAGATGATAGCAGCTGTGGTCTAGAGGTAAGTCGGTGGCGAGAGGAGCCCTAGTTCGTGCTCTGCGCTCCAACCTTTTTCGCTCTTCGCGTTTGCGCTCCAGCAACGTCTTGAAATAATTTTGGTCATTTAAATAAAAAAAAAAAAGGATTAACATAGAGAAGGGAATTCGAACCTTGTGAGCGAGCGAAAACAAAAAACTTGTGAACAAAACACACTATGTGAACTCACTATCCATTGCACTATTACTATTTACGGCCTGCGAGTAAAATAAGACTAATAACAGCTCTGAAAAACCGACCTAAATTTTAATACCAGATCTCTTGCGATACAGAGCTTCATTGGAAGCGGATTCGGAATCCCTCTTGCTCCATCCTCTTGCTCCATCCTCTTGCTCCATCCTCTTGCTCCATCCTCTTGCTCCATCCTCTTGCTCCATCCTCTTGCTCTATCCTCTTGCTCCATCCTCTTGCTCCATCCTCTTGCTCCATCCTCTTGCTCCATCCTCTTGCTCCATCCTCTTGCTCCATCCTCTTGCTCTATCCTCTTGCTCCATCCTCTTGCTCCATCCTCTTGCTCCATCCTCTTGCTCCATCCTCTTGCTCCATCCTCTTGCTCCATCCTCTTGCTCCATCCTCTTGCTCCATCCTCTTGCTCCATCCTCTTGCTCCATCCTCTTGCCCCATCTCTCAAAAGTGCAAATCACATGATTTTTCGACAGAATCTTGACTGCTGATAAGATTTGAATCAGTTGGACAGTTGTCAGTTGATCAGTCAATCAGTTGGACTCAAAAAAATCAATGGCTATTTGCTGGTGAAGCCCCACAAACCACCCCCAAGCCCGATATTCATGGATCGAAGATCATGATCTGTTTATGGTAGAATTCGAAAGGATTAGTGCAAAAGGGATCAATTCTCTTTAACTTAACCCAAATTCTAGTCCATATCCGTTTACTTCTAGGAACGAACATGATCAAGAAACGCGCATTATTTGGAGTTAAGTCGTTGGAGGAGTTGAGTTGGGTTGTCGGAGTATTAGAGATGGCAGGATATCAAAAAGGATCCACTCTCTTTAAATTAACCCAAATTCTAGTCCATATCCATTTACTTCTAGAAACGAACATTCCTTTTTCATTTGTTCTTTTCATTCATTTCTTCTTGTTCTCTATGATTCAGTTACTTTCTTTGCACTCTCTTTTTTATAAACCATTTCAAACCATTTCATTGTTTTCAGTCAAACAACTGAAATTGTTATTACCTATTTGAAGTTCAATTCTTGTTTTTTTCAGTTCATGATTCATGCGCAATCAATCATCTCTATAATAAAGATAAAGAACACAGAACTCGTCCCGCATTTGTCTTGCTTTCTTTCATTTATCAACCTAAAAATCGTCTCCACAAAAACATTCTGTCTTCTTCTTTCTCGAGATCAAATCTACTGCCTTTCCAAGTTTTTTTTTGGATCATCTTTACACAAATCTCCCGCTCCCGGTCGATTGGGCAAAGATTCGAAAGCAGATTCTTGAAGATTCATTTTCCCATGACCTGGTGCTTTTCCCTGGTTAGTCGGGAAGTCAAGGGTTCAATCCCGCCGGTTTTATTAGTTCTTTTGTTCCTATATCCATGGGTTTTTTTTTTCTTTTCTACACTTAGCAGTTAGAGGCTGTGCTTGTGTATTGTTTATACCACATTATTCGTGTGAACAAATATATTATTAAAAAAAAGCTATGCACCCGGTGAATTTCGTAGTTTTCCCCATTCTTCTACTTACCATTCCCATTCTTCTACTTACCATTCCCATTCTTCTACCTACCATTCCCATTCCTCTACTTACCATTCCCATTCTTCTACTTACCATTCCCATTCTTCTACTTACCATTCCCATTCCTCTACTTACCATTCCCATTCTTCTACTTACCATTCCCATTCTTCTACTTACCATTCCCATTCCTCTACTTACCATTCCCATTCTTCTACTTACCATTCCCATTCTTCTACTTACCATTCCCATTCCTCTACTTACCATTCCCATTCTTCTACCTACCATTCTCATTCTTCTACTTACCATTCTCATTCTTCTACTTACCATTCTCATTCTTCTACTTACCATTCTCATTCTTCTACTTACCATTCACCCATTGCTCAAGACGAATCGAAAGTCCCCAGTCACCGGTGTTAAACTTGGTCTCGCGAACGGTTATTAGGTTCTTGTTTTCAAGGACAACATGCGATGTGTAAAAGTGACCATTCACTTTTGTGGGATCAATGCTTGAGGCAAAAGAGCTATAATAAAATGATCTTAATGGTCATAAGAGCTACAAAGAGCTATAAGCTGCAAAGAGCTATAATGAGTATTCGAAAGCTGTATCCTTACACTTCTTCCCAATCACCAAACACCAGAGTTGGCTCTTCATCAATAGAAAATGGAAGCTGATCGATGCAATTAGTTTTTAACTGAATTTTTTATTTAATGAATAATTATTTATAAACCAGAGTAGGATTGGGAGTAGAGCTGGGTTCCGCACAATCATAAACGGTAAAGTCTAACAAGAAGTTTGCTGTGATTGATGGGTTACTTGTAAAAAGTTGAAAGGCCTAAAAAGAAATTGGTCAGTCATGATATGACTTGTTCTACTTAATCATATTTTTTTTTGTTCCAAATTTTCAAATTCTGCTTATGTTCAAAGAAACTCATTGAACAGATTCTTTTCTTTAGGATTTCGAATCAACTAATCAGCTCTTTAACTTTCAATGGTTTACAGGCAAACAAATCTTTCAATCTACCATTTTCCAACGCTTGTGAAAATCTAAAAATTCTAGTACAACAGTGCTTTCACATCTTTTCACCTTCAAATGATTCAATTTCACATCTTTTCACCTACAAATCATTTAATTTCACATCTTTTCACCTACAAATCATTTAATTTCACATCTTTTCACCTGCAAACGATTCAATCGTACTCCGTGAATGGCAAAAGAAGGCCCGGCATCGGTCAGTCGGAATCTTCTATCTAAAGCAAGAATTTTATAAAGAAAAATTATGATTTATGATAAATTCAAAAAAATTTAGCATCGGTTAGGTAAACTTTAACGTTATTGGATAAAATGAGGAAGTTGCTGATACAAAATGGATTGATGTTGAATCCAAATTAGATCTACAGTACCAAATTATCAGATTGTCTTGTCTGAAGAGTCTTGTTCTGTCTTGTTTTTCAGAGTAGAAATTGAATATCAAAACTGAAGCTCTTTTGAAGGCTATTTGGAGAGCTATTTAGACAACTATTTAGACAGCTATTTAGACAGCTATTTTAGACCAAAAGTACCTTGTAAAAGGTTGGTCTTGTTCGCTTTTTTAAAGGTTACTTTTTGAAATGAATAATGAACCATTGATTGAACCAATCGATCTATGATTTGTTTTATCAGAAAGTTCTATTATTTATCGAACAAATTGAACAAAAGAAACTATGAAAAGCTCGCGTTAGTTTATATTTTTAAAGGTGTGAAGTGAAAAATGTCAGTCGAGCAATCAAAAGCGTCGAAACTCAAGGGTCCAATTTGAGCACTTTTTGTACAGAGACTTATTTTGGTGTTAAAAGACAAAAGTTAGAGCATAAAAGGTTAGGCAAATAGACAAATTCTCAGAGAAATTGACTCAACCAATTTCATTCTATGTCCATTGTAAAGATTTTACGAAAAACAAGAATTTCCGCTCGGTTTTGCTTCAAAACGGATTCAAGTTTGCCTAAAAATGAGCTACATGAAATCGTTAATCTTTTTTATTTAAAGCAAATCACACATTGATCACCCAATTATTCTTTTATAAATGAAAATTTTAAAAAGGCGGACTTTCCGGTCAAACCAATACATTGAAATCATGTTCTTTCATCAAAAGCTTATCACTTTTCTTACTATTAAAGACAAAAATTCTGGTACTAGCCATTTCTAGGGTTTTCACCTCTAACAGTAGGCTTTTTAGTGCAGTCCAACTGTTGTGATTGTTGCTAATAAGTGCCATGAATTTAGCTTTTAAGCTAAAGTAAACAATTATTCACCAGGTGGCCTTGGTGTCGTCGGTTGTGGTGCTCGTGTTTGTTTTGTTGGTCTTGGTTTTGCTTCCAAAACTCTGGGTGAACTTTTTGAAAAGATTGTAGTAACAATATTGGTGTAATTCTCCTTGACATTCACATCCGTTTCAACTTGGTTTAAAGCTGTTGTTAATAGTAAAATGAATAGGAAAACCATTGGAATTTGTCAATGACTCAAAGATTTCAATAGCTCTTGATGGTCTCCCTTTTGTATATTTCGTTTCGTTAAGCCTAAGAATTTGAACGCTGGGTTTATGAGCAGCTTAAGACGGTTTAGGTTTTGGAAAACTCGAGAAAATCCTCAAAAAAAAACGCGGCAAAGATTTCTCAGTATCCTCGTCCTTATCACTTTCTTCGTTTGACAAGTTTTTTGAGTTTCGGGAGAATTCAAAGAATTGAACGGTTTTGAAATTGAATTCAACTGAACAACCCATTATAAAAAAATGTTTATTCAATTTCTTAATCTTAATGTACAATCTAAGCCAACCATATCAACAAAAATCCAAAGCTTTACAAGCAATATCGGGATTTGTCCCCTCTTCAATATAGGCAATGATGTTTTTGAGTTGAGATTGAACGATCACTTCACAGAGATCTTTTTCCGATTGATGTGTATGAAAAAGCTCATCACAAAGAGCGTTCAGCGCGTCGGGGATCGTTGACTAAAATTTGACAGTGAAGCTTTTATAAAACAAACGACAAAGTCAAAAAGCTTTCGCTGAACAAAAAGTGAACCGCCAACTAGGTTCTGTAGTTCGTTATTAATCTTTGCTAGCAATTAAATCCAGTTAGAAAGTTTGCATTGTTGGCAAAACTATTGCAAAATATTCAAGATTTGAAAAAGCTCAATGAAGTAATCGTGTAAAATGGAAAGGGATTTTTCCAAAGGCAATTTATCCTGGTGTGACTTGACTATCTGGCTATTCAAGGCCTGTAGAACTGTATTCATGGACAATAACTCATTGATTTTAGCTTCATTTCTGGTTTTTGGATTTCGAAATCGCATTTAAACCTATGGTGCACTGGCGTACAAATCCAAGAAACTCCAAGAGTTCTGCCAAAACAGCTTCCAGGATTTCATTTCCTTTTCTGAGTGTCCCCCTAGCTCTCCAGACCTCAACCCAATGGATTTTTCAGTGTCGTCGGTTCTAGAAGCCAAAGCTTGTTCAAAGCCTCAGACTTCAAACCAAACCAGGTCCAGACTTTGGTCTGGACCTGGTTTTTGGCTAGACATTGTCAGCTAAAGCTTTCGAAATGCTTTTTGAAAACTTACTAGAGAATTGTCTTGGCTTTTTGAAACGCCAAACTCATCTTAGAGAATCGGCTGTTCAAATTTGCTTTTAGTTTTTGCCCTCGAAGCCTGTAACACAAGATATCTAGCTTAGAAGTTCTCGTTGCATTTCTGATTTCTATGTGGGGCCCTCACGCTATCTCTCAAAATGTGACTGTGTGGTTTTGTTTAAACTTATTTTTTAACTCTCAACTTTTTATGGCATTCTATTCCATTATTTTGAGTATTTTAAGGATAAGTAATTAACAAAGATTCGAAAAAGCTATAGAAAGACGGATAGTTTATGTGGTTTTAAAAAAAAAACGTTTTCAAAAAGCATGTCAAAAAAAACTTTAGCTAACAAAGTCTAGCCAAAAACCAAAAAGCTAAAAATTTGACAGTTTTATCTATTTTAAGGAATCGAGAAGCTTGGCTAGAGACCATAAAAAGCTTTTTTTTAATTATCAAAAAGATTTTATTAATATAAAAAGCAAAGGCATGGCGTGGAGGCCTCAAAAAGAGATCAAAAATGCAACCAAAACTTGTAAGCTAGATATCTTGCGTCACAGGCCTCGAGGGCAAAAACTAAAAGTAGATTCGAGCTCAGCACAACCGTTTCTATAAGATGAGTTTGGTTTCATTTCAAAAAGCCACGACAAGTACTTGCCTTTCTCTAGTAATTTTTCAAAAAGCATGTCAAAAGCTTTAGCTGACAAACTCTAGCCAAAAACCAGGTTCAGACCAGGAACCTGACCAGGTCCAGACCTGAACCTAACCAGGTCCAGACCTGAACCTAACCAGGTCTACAGTCCTTGAGTAGCCAGATAGTCAAGTCAGATCAGTTTAGTGTAACTTATAATCAGATCAACCTCATGTTCTTTGACGTATTCCGAAACAGATTCTAGCAGAGTTTTGCAAACATCGCACAGTTGGCCATTTGACTCCTCTTGAAATTTGAAGCGAATTTTCTGCTCAATGGGTGAATCGCCTTCCAAAATATCCTGAAAATTGAGTTATTTAGTTAAATTTTTGAAAAACTACCAAAATTTGATCATTTTCACGAACTCGGAGACTTTCTGGCTTCATCACTTTTTTGAGTCCATAGTTATCTTTTGATTTCTCAGCTTTTGAGAAAACAAAAAGAAGGGTCAATACTGAAAAGTTTTGAAATAAAAATCTTTAAAAATTACTGTGAATACTACTGTGAATATCTGAAGTCAAGCTTTACTTACCAAAGAAATATTTCAGCATAATTAAATTCGATAGTAGAAAAGCGAAGAAAAGCTTGTCTTCTTCTTGTCAAAATCTCAAGAAAGAACACCACCGTTGACCTGTTTTGCCGGTTGATGAAGGAAAAGGAAACTGGATTCCCAATAAAGCAAGTTCCCCACCAGCACTTTGAAAAATGATCAAATTTGAGCTAATTTCCCACAAAGAGGCAAACTTTTTCAGTGACAAATTTGGTTAATTTTGAATGAAAGTTCTGAAGAATAAGGAGGGTGAGGTAAGACTTCTCAGGCCATGCTGTGGATGTTTTGCCATGCTGTCGAGTGGCGCGTGTAAGTTTTGTCGTATGTTGGCGAGAATCAATCGAGAATCGTTTGTCTCCTGTCACTAAGCGCGGCAAAAAAGCGCGAGAATCCACTTTTTTCGTTAATGTCTCGAAAGAAGCCCAATACAAATAAAGCTTCGAAAATCTCTATACTTTTTAAATGCTCCCCATCCAGAGGATGTTGCATTGATCGGAAAAGATGATAATCCGATGGGGCAAGATCAAAAGATTAAGAAGGGTAAGGTGAGACTTCCCACGAATTCCTCTATCGTAGAAAATTTTTGGTTTCGAGTCGAAATAGCCAATAGCCAATTTGGAGCCACTTTTTGAGGTCGTCTTCGTTTTGAAAATGCTCCCCATCCAGGGAATGTTGCATTGAGCGCAAAAAGATGATAACCCGATGGGGCAAGACCTGAAGAACAAGGAAGGTGAGGTAAGACTTTCCAGGCCATGCTGTGGATTGTGGTGCGTGTGAGTTTTGTCGTATGTGGGCGAGAATCCACTTTTCGTCTCCTGTCACTAAGCGCGGCAAAAAAGATTTCCGTTAATATCTTGAAAGAAGCGCAATACAAATAAAGCTTCGAAAATCTCTATACTTTAAAAAATTTATTTAAAAAGTCTATGTTACTCTAAAAGCGTCGGAATAAGAGCTTTTTGGTTGAAATTTTTGTGTCGCGATGCTTTCGGGGTCAAGAAATCGATTGGATCAAACGGTTTTTCTTAAAAATCAGTTTAAAGCAAGTTATTGCATTGGGTCATTTAAGCTGAAAAACGCTTTTTTTTTAATTTCTCGAAAACCAAGACCCATTAGGAATTTCAAAAATTTATTTATTTTCGGATTCAGCACATTTTTCAGCACGAATGGCTATTCAAACATAAAAATCCTATAGAAAACGATTTTTTTGCGTTCTTTTAGTAATTTGCTGCGTAATTTTATGTCCAACGAGCCAGCTCCGATATTTTAGAGTTGCTCTTTGAATTAAAAAGATTTTTATCAATGTTATAGTAAATTCAGAATAAACAATCTGACAATCTCAAAATGACAATCTAAAAAGCCGGTTTCTTTGCCTTTTCTGTGGACAATTTGGGGATTTTTGTTGACGCAGTGTAGTTTGTAGTTTGAAAGATTGCACAAGAAAGCGTAGAAAAGCCAAAATTACTTTCTCATGCTTCGTTTTCGAAGTTAATTTGACCGGATTTTATCAAATTCTTGCATTTTCTTCAAGTATTTGATCTTCTTCAACTCCAAATGAGCCTTTTCAACTTCTCGCTTCTTCCCAACTCTTTGAAATATTCAATCGTTGATTTGTTTCATAAAAACGAGACAAAAGAACTTTTGAAAGTGAACATTGGAATGCGAGCGTTGATTTTAAAACGTGGATTCTTTCCTAAACACATTGAAGAGATTAGTATTTCGTGTCCAGAATCAGAAGAAACGATTCAAGAAATGGATCCAATTTTGAGAGTATATATTCTTTATGCAAATTTTCACCGAAAACACATGGAAAATTCGTTGACCGAAGGAGTATTCGTTAAGGATTTCGACGCCAAATCATTCTGGAAATTGATTTCTCAAATCAAATTATGCAGAAAGCTTCATTTCAACGTTTGGCCGGGGATCACCGAGCGGAATCGAAGTGCAATCGAACAAATGAGATTGCTAATGGCTTTTTCAAAACTTCAACACTTTCAACTTTTTCAATTGGAGTCAACAATGGGCTTTTCTGAGCTGATTCTGGAAATGGTTAGACCAAAAACGATCGACAAATTGGAAGTCTACGTGCCCAAAGAAGGCGCTAATGGTGAAGAAGTGGAAAGTTTTTACACAAAGCTTTTTAGCACCTCTGGATTCAGCACTGCAAAAGATGTTTATTTTGGTTGTGAGCTAATGGACTATTGGAAAATCGCCTCGAAATTGCGATGTCAACACGCTGGGTTGAGCATTGATGAGCCGGAGAAACTAATGAATACTTTTAAAGATATTTTGAGGAAAGGACTCCCAAATCAGCATGAGAAAGCGTCGATTCAACTTCACGGAAATCTCGGATTTGCTCAACAATCGACGGAAGTTTTTTCGAATTTTGTGGAAACGGTGGCTGAAGTCTCGGGAATTAAGGTGGGTGGAAATTTCGGTAAATATTCGTTTTTCTAAATAAAGAAAACACTTCTTAGAAACGTTTCTTACAAAGTTTTTCAACTTTCGGAAACCCGTAACCTTGTCTTACAAGGGAAGTATCCCAGCTCGTCACTCAGGCTCAGGCTCGCCGATCGCCAGACCCCCAGGGAGAAGTTATAGAAGCGAGTAAGCAGAAAAGGCAAGGCGAGGACTCGAACCCGAGCAAGAAAAAGGAGAGCTCGCTTTGTATACAACCACTTTATCCGCTAGGCCACCAGCAAATATCGGTATCCATCGAGAAAAGCCTTTTAACTAACTTGTGTTTCGGTTGGCTCTTTTCAGTTCGGTTTCGGTTCAACCGAAGTCAACCGAAATCTTTCGGTTCGGTTCGGTTCAACCGAAAAGATGAGTCTTTCGGCTCGGTTCGGTTCAACCGAAACACAAGTCTACTTTTAACCAAGATGAAGATCAAGAGCAAGATCAAGATGCAAGATCAAGATGCAAGATCAAGATGCAAGATCAAGATGCAAGATCAAGATGCAAGATCAAGATCAAGATGCAAGATCAAGATGCAAGATCAAGAGCAAGATAAAAACCTCTATGCCAAGTAACTCGCGTTTGCGTGAGTATGGGCAGCTAATTTTTGCGGCATTTTGATCAGCTTAGTCGGTTCTATAACTTCTCCTTGGGCGTCTGGCGATCGGCGGTGGCAAGCTGGGGTACTTCCCTTGTTAGATTTGATCTATTCATTTTTTTTGGTTGTGAGCTAAGCGTAAATAGCTTACTATTGTCAAAGAACGTACATTGAGACGAGATTGAGACAAGATTCAAGACAAGACAACATTACTGAGATAGATTAGATTAGATTACTTTTTTAAAATTGCTCTACCGAGAAAATACTGTACTCGGGTAAGTTTTGAGCAAAGTTTTTCAGGCAAAACAGAAATCAGCAAAGCTTTTCACAAAAGCCTAATTCATAAAAACTCTTGGCTACTCTTTACGTTTTTTCGTAATCAGTGAAAAATGTTTGCCTTTTCTAAACTACCGTAAAGCATTTATGAAATTTCAGATCATAAAGCCAGACGACTTGGATTCTGTAGAAGTTGAGGCTTTGAAGAAGCTTGCTTTTCACGCAACCAATCGTTACACATACGAAAATCTTCACACTCTACAAATCTCTCGCCCTGAACTGAAGCGAATCTATCGACTAGAGCAGACAGTGACAGAAAGAAGTGGGGAAAAGTTTTTCACTTTGAATTTCGACGGAAATGAGTACATTTTGATGATTTGTGTTGAGGATTTGAGATCAGAGTTGTGGCCTTCCGTAAAAGTTTCTCTTGTTTTTATGCCTAGGACAATACCCTAAAGTCTCGAGTATAAGTTCATCCGAGTATAAGTTCTGCCTTAATTTACATTCGCTTTAATTGCTTTGAATTTCTTTTTCTTGGGTTTTTATACATTTTTATTGTTATATAAACTTTTATTATTGTTCTTGGAGCACGGGATCTGTTTCTCTGTAAATCGGTAACTTGTCAGTAACTAAATTCACAACAGTCTGGGTAAATTTAGCTTAGCTTGATGTCAGTTCGGCAGAGGTTTTTGACGATAAAGACCTCTGCCCAAGTGACATAAGGCTAGGCTAAATTTACAACAGTCTGGGTGAGCTTGATGTCAGGCTTAGCCCAGCCTAATGTCACTTGGGCAGAGGTTTTTAGTTTATGTTTTCAATGTTACTGATGTTTAAATAAATCCTAATCCATATGTGTGCTTTTTGTCAAGAACTTTGCTTCAAACAAGCTTCAAACAAGCTTCAAACAAGCTTTAAACAAGCTTCAAACAAGCTTCAAACAAGCTTCAAACAAGCTTCTAACAAGCTTCAAACAAGCTTCAAACAAGCTTCAAACAAGCTTCAAACAAGCTTCAAACAAGCTTCTAACAAGCTTCTAACAAGCTTCAAACAATGGCAATAAACAAGCTTCAAACAAGCTTCAAACAATGGCATCAAACTTTACCAGAAAAATCTCGCATCAAAAAGTAGATTAGTTCAATTGGGTTCTTATGTAATGTTTTTCAAAAAAAGGAATATAAAAACCGTTTAATATTCAACTTCGGCTTTCACTTTTGACTTTTGAAAACGACTTTTTTGGACTTGCACGCATCTGATAAGTAGTTGTTTTTTTCGACTTGTTTCCCTTCCCCAAACTCTTATCAGCTAGAGCATAAACAAAATATTTTAATCTTAAATGTTTGAAAAACAAATAATAAAGCTATTGTGATGTTTTCCTTTTGCATTTATCATTGAGATTTTAACTTACAATTGATAATTAATCATTGAAAATGGCTACTGTGGAGCCCGTCTACGCGCAGATCGTCAAGCCAAACGGAAATCGCAAAAGTAAGTAAAATCGAGTAATTCTGAGATTCGCCAACTCAGAAATACCGTAAATGCTGATCCAAAAGATAGATAAGGGTGTAAAGAAATATTCTTTGCGTGCTTGGTACTCTTCACTCAAGACACGTTATTTCTTGTTTCGAGATATCTGATCTCACTTGAACTAAGACACTTTATTCAATAGCCGACTGAGTCGGCAATTTTTGGGCTCTCACTTGAGCAATTTTCACACAAAATCGACAATTGAATTAAAAGCGACGACAAAAACAGAAACAATTTCGTTCTAATTAGGAAACAACTTTCACACGATGAAAGAAAAAAGTAAAACTCATCAAATGAACAACAGTTGCCTCATATAGGCTATTCAGCTGCACAGGATATTGAGCTCAGCTCATATAGGCTACACAGGATATTCAGCTCAGCTCATATAGGCTACACAGGATATCCAGCTCAGCTCATATAGGCTACACAGGATATTCAGCTCAGCTCATATAGGCTACACAGGATATTCAGCTCAGCTCATATAGGCTACACAGGATATTCAGCTCAGCTCATATAGGCTACACAGGATATTCAGCTCAGCTCATATAGGCTACACAGGATATTCAGCTCAGCTCATATAGGCTACACAGGATATTCAGCTCAGCTCATATAGGCTACACAGGATATTCAGCTCAGCTCATATAGGCTGCACAGGATATTCAGCTCAGCTCATATAGGCTACACAGGATATTCAGCTAACAAGCTACAAAACAATAAATGATTTGGGGCGCGAAATAGAATGAAGGCGCACGGATTTCTGCAATACTTTTCCAATTTTTAGGCTGTCAGCGTTAGGTAACCTTTTTAGTGGCTATTCGCCACAAAGGGGGACCAAATGAATCAAAAATTTAGATTTCGTTAAAAACCATTTTAAATGATGGCCCTTCGTCCAAAACGTACAAAAAACCACGTTTAAAAGTAAAACTATTTTATTACTTGCGACCTCTTTGAATCTCCAATGGATCCAAAATCTCCAAAATCCATGTGGGGGACCAATATGGTTTTTTTAGATCTATCCATAGAACCCCCACATGGGGGATCTAAAGTCAAGATTTTGAGGAGTGTGGAGGTGTCATTCTATTAGAGGGTGTTATTCTAATACATCATTTACGGTAATTTATATTTAAACTGCCCGCGGAAAGAGTCAAAAGTAGTTCTAGCCTAACAATAGCAGGACAATAGTCTAGTTCTAATGATTACATAATTCTAATGATTCTAATGATTACATAATTCTAATGATTCTAATGATTACATAATTCTAATGATTCTAATGATTATTCTAATGATTATCTCTTTCAAAAAGTCATTATTGTCTGGAAAAGTTTGTTGGAAAACACGAACGTTAGTGAGCATTTTCCGCTGGTATGCTATATTATAGCGATTTTCATTGAGAACCGGCCCTAAACTGCCGTCCCCTTTTAAGAAAACCTTACGAAGTAAATCTTAAATTTGATGTGGAGCAAGGTTTTACAAGCCTAGTGGCAAAAATCTATCAATTTCTTTGTTTACCAAAGACTTCAACGAAGAAATCGTAGTCTATCTTCTTGAAACATCCATTCCTTTAGATTCCTTCAAGCAACTGTTCTCCTTTGCTTCAAATGACCACACGAAGACTCCGATTGGTGAACTCCCAAGAACTTTTCCACCAGAGAGATATCATTCTTGTGTATGATCCATCTTTTAAGTCTTGTTAATTAAAGTTTTAGTTTGTCAAGCAGACAAATTGGTCTAAAAAGCGTAACAGTCACAAGGTAAACCTAGTATTTAACGTTGTAACATAAGACTTGACAGCAATATCAAACCTCAGCTTTTAGACATTTCTCATCGTCTTCTCGACATTGTTCATCCTAGTCGATATGGCGTTTTGGCTCGTCTATAATTTAAAAGAATTTGGAAAGTATGGGTTTTCTATCTAGGTTTCCAAATTTCTCAGTTTCTAGAACACTTGAAGGAGTGCTCTCCCAGAATCCCTTTGAACTCGTGCACACCTTTCTTGGCACTGGAATCACGCTTGTTTACATCGTTTTCTACTTGATTGGCGTGAATGCGGTGATCTTCAAACAACGGCACTTGTTGATGTCTTTCATGATTTATCTAGTGAGTGTTATGTTATTTGAAAGTCTTATATGAAACGAATGAAATTTTAAATTTTTACACAAGCTAGTGAAAGAATATTCGTAGTTTTTAAATATCTAAACGAAAAAACTGTCAACGCTTTTGGTTTTTGAGAAAATCATCCTTTTGTACATCCACAATTATGGTAACTATTAGGTTGTCCAATAAGTAATGCGGGTTTTGACACGATTTTCAAAATATCACAAAATTAACAAAAGAGAACTTTATTAATCGATATATTCTCCACAACAATCAACAACATTTCTCCATCGTCCGAGCAAAGAGTGAAGTCCGTCATAATAGAATGAAGCTGGTTTCGATGAGAAGAAATCGTCGAGCCATTTTTACACCTCGTCAACACTTTTGAACTTGTGTTCTCCAAGAGCGTGCGCCATCGAACGGAACAAATGGAAATCAGATGGAGCCAGGTCTGGACTATACGGCGGATGTGGGAGAGTCGACCATCCAAGCTTCTCAATCTTCTGCTGTGCGATTTTTGCAATATGCGGACGAGCATTGTCAAACTGCAGTTTAATCATCGAAGTGTCCTCTCCTTTACGACAAAGAGCTTGCTGCACCCTTTCCAATTGTTGAGAGTACAAGTCAGCAGTGACCATTTGACCGGGGTTTAGAACTTCATATATTTGCTCGAAGCGATTTCGCAATAGTTTCGAAATAAGTAACACGCATTACTTATTGGACAACCTAATAGTTTTTGAAGCCTATTCTCTTCCAAAAAAACTTTCTACAGAAAGTAGCATGTATTGTAGACCTTTAAAAGCTCTAATTCTTAGCATACATTAATACATTAAAGATTTTTGGCTAGAGCTAATTTTTAACCCTTACTGGCCTTCGGAATGAGCTCGCCGCAAGAAATTCGATAGGACACAAAAGTAAAAGCTTACCAATCTGTTGGCGAACTCCTTTCCGTTGTCGGACTAAAGAATTTTTGGGGCTCCAAACGTTCCGAATATTTCCATTTCCACAACTTCAAATTGTGTTTTCCTTTGCAATGCCCGCAAAACGACGAACTTTGTGAAATGATCCTGGTAGACCATCAAAAACTTGAATTCTCCATCGAGAACGGATTGAAGACCGATTAAATCCGTGCCTTTGAGGAAGGACGAATGACGAAAAGGGCCCTTTTAGAGCCTTTGGTCACAGTATGATAAAATGCGCACTCTTTAGAATGCATTTTTAGCTTCTAAGCTCCTTTTAGAGAGCTTGAATTTGTGGTATTGACTTGAGTCAATACATAACTCAAGATTTCATTTTTGAGACTTAATCGGCTAGCCGAAGAAGTCTGAGCCTTAATCGGCTAGCCGAAGAAGTCTGAGACTTCTTCGGCTACGACAGTCTGAGACTTCTTCGGCTGAAATCCTTCATCGGCTACGACATATATAATGAACTAGAGACCCAGATCACCTTAGTAATGTGCTTGCTTCCCAAAACGGAGCTTAAGCTTCAACCTGTGCTCTGCAAAAGGTCAAATTCACTTCGCAAAGCTCTGTCTAACCTAATTCAATGTTCTCTTTCAGATTGTCGCCGTTTTTCTCAACATCTTACACATCGCTTACCATGTCGTCAACTTAATTCTCTACGAGACAATGGTTATAATCATTGTTGAAATTGTTTGGTTGTTGGCTATTCTATACTTTGTACGAATTCATATCTATTATTTGACTTTATGCGATAAATGTTATTGAATACAATGTACAATGCTACTTAATGTGCAATGCTACAATGTACAATGCTACAATGTACAATGCTACAATGTACAATGCTACAATGCACGATGTTACTTAATACAAACAAGTCATAGACCAAAACGGCCCAGAGCTAAACAGTTTTGCAAAACCAATCGTCATTACAGCTCTGAAAACAAAAATTTAGGCAAAAATGTTTTAAATAACAAAAGCTAATAGTAAACAATGTTCAAAAGAGTTATCACTTTGTTTTTAAAGTTTTTGATAAAATTTTGAAGACAATAACAACATCTCGTAACGATTAATGATAGCTAGCTGGGAATTTTCAAAGCAGCAAACCACTTTTGCTCTATTCCCCAAGAAAAGCTATGGAAAGCTATGCGAACATGCAGAACTTTACAAGAAATATAACAGGTAACACTTGTTTTTTTACTTGTTAATCAATTAAATCAATTAAAAATTAACTTGGCTAACTTGCAATACGTTTGAACTTCTTGGGCTTCTCCTTGGGCTTCTTCTTGGGCCTCTTGGATTATAAAACAGTTGATTGGTTATCTAAAGTATAATCAAATCACAGTTTTCATTCAATTAGGCCGATTTTTGTTGCATAATTGAAGATCAAAAGGTTTATGATCAGTCAATGATACCAAAATGGAGTTTATCAGATCTTTACTGACAACTAGGTTACGTAGTTTGTTAAAGTAGCTATCTATATACTCTACATTACTTTAGAATCATGATTCATCGATCAAGCCAAATATTCTGTAATCTTTGAGAGTCAAACTTGATCTCAACAATGTTCTAGAAGAACTTTACACTAATTGTTCTTATTTTTAGGCTCAAGAAATCGTGGCTATGTCAATGTCGAAGATGAGACTTGTGAAGGTACAGTTCATCATTTTATATAAGCTGAAAACTTTTAATCATTTTATATAAGCTGAAAACGCTGAACAAAATCTCATCCTCGATGTAGAACAATGTCAAAGCACCTTTTTGTGACCTTTTTATCGTTTACGCTCATTTTTGTTGTTTAAAATAAACTTTCGAGTTCAATGCTTGATCATAGCTAAAAGTAGAGTAGAAATGCTTAAAAATACTTGTGAAAACTTTTTTTATAGCCTCTCGGAAAGGTTGATAAATTCGCGTTTGAAAGTTGCCACCTAGGAGCCGCCAAGACTTTTGTCCATAAGCAATATGACAGCTCAGCTTTTAGGCATTTCTTATCGTCTTCTCGTTGCTGTATAAGCTGAAAACTTTAGGCGCTGAACAAAATCTCATCCTCGATGTGGAGCAATGTCAAAGCAACACGCTTCCACAAATGCCCGACCATATCTGTGTAAGAGTAAATCTTCTCAATGAACTGAAACTGAAACTGAAAGCATTCAGAAAATTCAAAAAAGCGCCTGGCCAAGGGTTCGCATCATTCACAAGGTTTATTCTAAAGGATTTCAAACATTTAGAATTTCTAGGGGTTTATTATTGCTTTCTCGTCGGCTTTGGTGGTAGTGCTGGCTACATTTTGGTCATTGATGCATCCTCGGAATGATAAGTAAGATTTTAGTAAAGGTTTTGGCACTAACCGATTCTCTTCACTATTGATCACATCCAAACTGGCCTCTTGCAGATATTTCCCGTTCTCCACCGCTCCTTACAATGCCATTCACAATTTGATCGCCAACATCGTCTTTTTGACCTCCATTGTCTCGTGCTCTGCCGGAACTTACGCGATTCTCTTTAAAAGGCGAAAAATGATTGTCGGAGTCATGGTGCATTTGGTGAGACTTTTTAAATTTGCATTTACATTTACAAAAGCTGCCTTTTTAACGTGCTGGCTTTACAGGGTGGCCCATAATTATAGGTGCAGATAAAAAGCTTTTTTGGTAGACAAGATTAAACTTTAGAGAGCAAACTTTTGTTTTAAAATCTTTTGATATCAATGAACAATAAATTAACAATTAAATTCAAAGCTATCACCATTCTTAGTCGAGCATGCTGTCAAGCGTTTAGGAAAAGCGTCCACGGTGGTGACCAAGTAGATTGTAGGACCTTTTATACGCGCCCCGCCCCCTTTGCCATTGATTCATCGGGTCAGGCAAAGCCAGAAATCTTGCTTTATCCGATTTATAGCCTAGCTTTGGTGTTTATGCGTCAGCAAGGCTAGAAATAAGATTGTGAGAACTTGTATACGCGCCCCGCCCCGTTTTGTCATTGGCAATCTAACTTTGAGCTCAAATATCTTGGTGTTGGGCTGTCCAATTTAAATAGTTTTTGTAACAATCGACAGAGAAAGACTCGGCGCATTCAATGATACCAAGAGTATTTAAATTGAACAGCCCAACGCCTAGATATTTGAGCTCAAAGTTGGGTTGTCAATGGCAAAGGGGACGGGGCGACAAACATTTTATACCGGCCCGGGCCCCTTTTTGCAGTCTAAGTTTGAGCTCCAATATCTTGCTGTTGGGCAGTCCAATTTAAATAGCTTTTGTATCAATCGATAGAAAAAGACATGGCGTGTCCAATGATACCAAGAATCAGCGTAACATCAAGATATTTGAGTTCAAAGTTAGATTGCCAGTGGCAAAGGGGTTGGGGCACGTATTAAATGTCCGATAACCAAAGAAAATCGGAATAGCCGAGCTTTTAGCTCCAGGTTTACGGTCATCAAAACTTGACGTACCTACAAAAATGACACTTCAAAGCCAATTCGATGAAATGATTTACGCTTAAAAAGCCCACCCAAATTCCTCATTTCCAGACCGATTAATAAGACAAAGTCCTATCGCAATTTTTGCACAAAATGAACCCAACTTTGACTTTTTTATTTTCGACAAAGTCCACTTCCCGTAAACGTAACGGCTTTGAGGTCAAATAATCCCAGAAAAACGGGGGATTCTCTCAGCAAAGAAGGCTTTTTTTTGAGTTTTTGCTTTTGAAACCCTAGGAAACTCCTTCAGATTCCATAGGATTCTTACGTTTGAATAGCCATTTGACGCAGAAAAATGTGCTGAATTCAATGGTGGAAAAATCATCAAAATCCGTCTTGTATATTTTTTAAAAATCGCATTTTATCAACAAAAATCGGTCATTTTACACAGAAACTTGCATTTGGCTCACTTGCTCACTTGCATTTGGCCCTCCACTACTCGATGATAACAAAAAATTAGGAAAGGCCAGGGAGTAGACTTTGTCAAAATGCTGTCTGCGGTCTTTTTGCGAGCAAAGTTGTATTAATTAGTCCTATAGAAAATCTTATAGAAAACGCATTTTCGCACGGATCTCCAACCACCAAAATACCCCGAAAAAATTTAGGCTTTAATGTTTTCCCTTGATGTGAGCCAAATGATCTACCACCTCGTCCACGATGATCCATTCTCAAAAACAGTGATCACCCTGATGCAAGCACTGTGGTTTTTCACCTTGCTCATCCTCTTTCGGCTTCACATTTACTATATGAATTTGTGCATTGAATGTTATTAACGAGGATTATCATTTATTTTAGCTGGTATGTACATAAACATTTATTTAAACAAAGTTTCAAGTTAACCCATAAGACTTTGGACACTTTTTTCTACAAGCGTTTATAAATGAAGAATTCACCAATTCATCAACAATTCGCTTCATTAGAAAGGCCTATTATCCATTGTGTGCAATCAAATCTTCTCCGATTGTTTATAGTTTGATTGCTTTTTATTCTGGTTGCCTTTCTCGTAAACAGGAAATTTCTGGAAGAGAAAAAATTGGAGAGATTTTGAGAGAATTTGAGAGAGAGCCTTGAGAGAGAGGTTTGAGATTCATCAATTTTTTCTCCTACAATCTCAGTTCACGTCAACTTTCCCAATCAAATGGCTTATAAATATTAGGTTGAGGAAAAAGTAATGTCGGTTTTGGTTGTGGGAGTTGACCTTTGATCGTCCAGACCGTTCCTCGTCTTGGAGACTTTCATTTCCATCTGTGAACCGCTGAAATCATCTTTGGCATTGTCTTTCGCTAATGCTGTCTTCCGCATAAGCAAAGAACTGGAAGATTGCCAAAAACGGGAATTCAAAACCGACATTATTTTTTCCTCAACCTAATATAAAAAGGTATTAGCTACATGCATAAGAAATGCGGATTTCAACATTTTCATAAATTTCCAACGATAGAAACCTGATATCGATGAATGTTATAAACTATTTGAAAGTTGTAAATCTCCTCTACAAAATAGGCTAACACGTGTTTCAATTGATTGAACCATTGAAGAAATTTCGAGGGCCAAATGCGAGTGACCAAAAAAGGAATCGAGTCACTTTAGGGACAAGTTTAGGGTGGTCAAAATGGAGTCAGCTTTCCTAAATTAAAGATTTAAAAAAAGGATAACTATATACAGTACTGGATAATGAAATATGAATGTACTGGACAATCATATTTGAAAAAAGATCGTCACTTTAGCGCGTCTGTAACTCCCCTGTCTTTGAGTTTAAACTATTAGTGTTATACATTTTCTGAAAGCTCTTTTCAAGGGCTACACAATGGTAATATTAATATTTAGAAATACGGTAAAGACAATGGAGTTACAGACGCGCGAAAGTGACGATCTTTTTTCAAATATGATATGAGGCCCAAATGCGAGTGACCACAAAAGGAATCGAGTCACTTTAGGGACAAGTTTAGGGTGGCCAAAAAATAGAGTTAGCTTCCCAAAATTGAAGATTTAAAAAGAAAAGGATAACTATATATCAATTCATTAAAAAAGCCTAACGGAAATGCATTTAGATAAAATTTAGATAGAGCGTAAGTTCAAAACCCTCAAAATTGTGAAAAAAACCGGTTTTTTCACAAAAAACAAAAATTATTGTAAGAACAAAGTTTTTTCATGTAATGATCCCAACTCTTAATTATTTTCAATGATATTTTAAGGATAATGATTTTAGGGCCATCATTTTCTACTATATAGTCAAAACCGAACTCTTGTGAAAGTGGGGTTTTGAAAAAGTGACCTTTTTTGATCACTCGCATTTTGGCCTCGAAATTTCTTCAATGGTTCAATCAATTGAAACACGTGTTAGCCTATTTTGTAGAGGAGATTTACAACTTTCAAATAGTTTAAAACATTCATCGATATCAGGTTTCTATCATTGGAAATTTATGAAAATGTTGAAATCCACATTTCTTATGCATGTACCTAATATATTAGTCAAAACACTTGCCTGAACCGAATTAGCCAGTTATAATGATATGATAAAGAATATTATAAATCCTCAAAATTGAATTAGTCAATTCAAATATACAGATTCAGAAAATTACTTCAAAATTTTGGGTACCAATAATGAAATTCAATCTACAGAGCGTTTTTCTAAGTAAAAATGCGTATTACGTTTATAGACGCAATCATTTTGGCAATATTTCAATATTTTTTCAATAAGTTTGCTAGTGATTCTCTGCTATAACTCCGGTGCAAAGTTAAGCACTTTGACCTAGAAGAATTTTGGTATTTTCATCTGTTGTCATCCCGTATAGCAATGAGCTTTCCTTTGTTTTGTCGCCACATTTATTCTAACTTCTACCCCACCAAAAAGGAAACCATGTGAGCCCTTATCAAAAAAGGAAAAAAGACTCAACAGTGATGCTTTTGTCATCAACTTGTCAGTGATGACAAAAACAAACACTAACCCTTATCACTTTATAAAAGAGTAATGGAAACATTTTGATCTCCGTCTTTTTGCAAACTTGTTGAAGTTTGCGGACGAAAAATGGAATCATTTGATGGGCATTACGACTATCCGACGAGCTCATCCACATCCGGTATGTACATAAAGTGATTCAGTCAATCATAATACGTACCGTTAGTGATAACAGAATGTTATGCAAAGACTTTCAGAAGTTCTCCATAGTTCCTTGTGCCTCTTAGGCTTGTTTACACAAAACATGAGAATTTCTGTAGACATTAAAGGGGTACTTCGGCCTCAAAAGTGATTTTCTAGAGCCACGACATATGCAAATCGACGAGTTTCATTCTCCTTTACAAGGATTGCATAAAGAAAAACCTTGAAAACACTAAAAACCTTGGAAAAACAATGAAAAACTGTAATAAAAATGCATTTAGGAGTCTAAAATGGGGTGGTAATTTCTATTATTTTTTTTTTGCTTAACAGGGACATTTGCGCAACTCGCCATAACTCTCTTCTAAGTCGGCCAATCTTTATGATTTTGGTTTCATTTTGTAGATCTCAATAAGACATGGGAAAAAAAAGTGGTGATACATTCTTGCTTATTAGAAGATCTTAGTTATTATACTTATGCTTTTACTCCATCCTTATCTATTAGGTTGGTAAAAAAGAAATGAGCGTCGTGTTTGTTGATTTGTATTTTATTCACAGTAAAAGATTTTTTAAATAGTTTATTCTATTGGAAAGAGCGTGTTCTTGCGCATCGTTTGATATATAATTTGTCTATGTTTACTTTGTTTTTTTACAAGAAAGAGTGTTTAGAAAATGTCGGACCAAAAATTTCGCTTGCGGGCCTGCCTGTGGTATGAATTTAAGCAAGGCAAATCGGCTGCTGAAGCTCATCGCGCTCTATCTCAAGTGTTTGACGAAGATGCTCTATCCGAAAGTCAGTGTAAACGATGGTTCCAGCGCTTCCGAGACGGCAACGAAAGCTTGGAAGACCAAAAACACGGGAGTCGACCTCAAATCATCGACAACGACGCATTGAAGGAAGCCATTGAGTCGGATCCACGCCAAACCAGTCGCGACCTGGCAGAACAGTTCGGCTGCACTCATGTCACCATTGAGAACCATCTGCATGGCATGGGCAAGGCGAATAGATGCGGAAAATGGGTACCGCATAAGCTATCCGACGCAAACAAGGCGACACGCATCGCAATCGCCGGAATTCTCACTCACCGCGCCAAGAACAGTGGGCTTTTCGACTCCATTGTTACGTCGGATGAGAAATGGATCCAATACGACAACAGAGCAAGAAAGCGGCAGTGGTTGGACCCCCGTGAAGCTCCAAAACCGACTCCAAAACCGGACATCCACGGAAAAAAGGTGATGCTTTGTGTTTGGTGGAACAGTAAAGTCCTGGTGTACTTTGAGGTTCTGGATTCGGGTCAAACAGTTACGGCGAGCCTCTACCAAGGCCAATTGGACCGCGTGGACCAGGCGCTGCGACGTCAAGGTGTGGGTACGGCGTGGACAAAATTCCTCCACGACAACGCTCGGCCGCATGTCGCAAAAATCACCCAGCAGAAAATTGAAGAAATGGGCTGGGAAGTCCTGCCTCATCCGCCATACAGCCCAGACTTGGCGCCTTCCGACTACCATCTGTTCCGATCAGCACCACTCCTTGGCCGAGAAAAAGTTCAAGAACCGCGACGAGGTCCAACTTCTTCGAGTCGCAGCCGGTCGAGTTCTTCAAGAAGGGCATCCATTCTCTGCGTGAACGTTGGCGACAAGTCATTGATGCAGATGGCAAATACCTTTTGGATTAATGTATTGTTATCTTGTTTTTATAATAAAACAAACTTTTAACGAAAACGCGCATTTCTTTTTTACCAACCTAATACTATATATAATTGAAAGCTGTCTGTCCGTCTATTCGTCTGTCTATTCGTCCATCTGTGCGCAGCCATTGGCAAAATTGGGATAGGCTACTTTGCGCCAAATTTTTTGCGCAACTGGGTCATTTGCGCAACTAGGTCTTTTGCGCAACTCGCCATAACTTTCTTCTAAGTCGGCCAATCTTTATGATTTTGGTTTCATTTTTTTTTGCACTTATTAAGATCTACGAACGAATCTACAAAAGAATCTACAAAAGGAAACCAAAATCATAAAAATTGGTCCACTTAGAAGAAAGTTATGGCGAGTTGCGCAAATGACCCTGTTGCGCAAAAGGAATTGTAGAAATTAGCCTACCCCACGTTTTTTTCTTTTTTTCACATCTTTGTGATCTTCTATTAAGTTTTTCGCCTTTTCTGCCCCTTCTAAATGAAGCTAAAATCAATGAGTTATTGTCCTTGAACGCGGGTGATACCTTGTTGTGACAATTATGGCGCACCTTTTACACCTTATGGATTCTCTCATTTCTCTAAATGCTGTTCACTACTTCAAATCTCAGAAAATTGGTCTCAGTTCAAAGTTTTTAAAACAGATTTGATCTAGCTCGATAGTTTTTTACTTGTTTCGTAAAATTGAGAAGAAAAAATGGAAAATGCTCTATCCATATCATCTGAATTAGAAATGAATGTTATTTTATCTTTAGATCCTCACTATAAAGGCAGCTACAATTGGGAAATCGCTGAATATCCGCAAGCGCCTAATTCGAAACCGCCACATCGATGTGTATGCTATTTTTTTGTTTAAGAAGCAATAGATTTTAGCCTCTGCAAGAGGGTGGCTGGGTGAAGACGAGAAGAGCACATAAAGTGAGTTAGGCAACGAATGCGGCCAAAGCGTCCCTGAGCGGACCCTCTTCTCAATCACTTGTCTTAAATACACTATTTGGTTCCTATTTAGCTCTTTGTAGTTCCTATTTGGCTCCTATTTGATCCTGATCTGATTCCTATTTAGTTCTTTGTAGTTCCTATTTGGTTCCTATTTGGTTCCTATTTGCACTTATAATTTAACCAGAAACGTTTTCTAAATCAGTTTTTCGCGAGGAATTCGAATTTCTTACTTTTAAAATCGTATCTTTTATCTAAAATTACCAAAAATGCAGAAAATACAAGTACGGGAACTTTTGGCGTGCTCTGTAGTGTAACCCCGTCTCACTCAAAAATCAAATAACATTTACAAAGAGCTTCGTGCTGAAATTCTTTCAAACTTTGTGCAAAGCGCAGAAATCTCCCATTCTACGTATATTATCCCTATTATAGTGTTGATTCCGATGGGATTTTGACGTATAATCCGAAAACTATTAACTTTTTATACGTGTCCTGTACAGTGCACATCGGCGCGAAAATGCGTTTTCTATCGGATTTTTCTGGGAGTACCTTTTTTAGATGCGGCAAATTGTGCTGATTCCGAATCTGAAGGAATTTTTCAAATCCCTCTGACAGAAATTTTTAAAATTTAGTTTTAGCGGTTTTTTGGTCATTTTGTATGGGAAATTTTGTGGTACCCTGCAGTTTGGAGCTCGTAACTCGACAACGAGGGTCTAGAACCAAAAACGAAGGGATAAGTTTTATTCTAGAGACTCTTACGAACATTTTGATGCAAAAATCATCAAATTTGCTCAACTCAACAACATAAGGGCAAACCGTGGCCGAGTGGTCTAAGGCGCGCGACGTGAATCCCGCGCCAAAGTATGGGGTTGTTGGTTCGGCTCTCTCGCGCAGTGAAATAAGTACACTGCAGTGTACTTATTTCAAAAGGCAAAAGCCAAAAGCCAAATGATTAAATTCTTCATTGTGCCGAGCAAAGTACTTGATCTTTTGAAACATTTGCATTTGAAACATGAGATTTAAAGCCACGTAAATCTTTTTTAGATACTACTGCAGTAGGAAGTACAAGTTTTGTCTTATTGGCATAGCTTTACATTTGAGTTTAATCTTCTTAACTAATAGACATAACTAAGCGATATTATCGCTTTCATTTTTAGGCAATTATTGTTGTCTTCCTCACCGCCTACAATATCATTTTGGCAATCGTTTGGGCAATGATCAACTGGGTGAATATTGGGTATGAGAAGCTGGTATTTTCATTTGATAAAGTGCAATTCAGTCAATTAAAAGACTGGTTCGCCCATGGTTTTCTCCAAGCGTTGAATCTCTTCTTTTGGACAATCGTCGTCCACTTTTCCTATATGATTTTCTCGGTGATCGGCATCTATGCGATGATGTTGAAGAAGAAACGATTGCTGATATCTTTCATCATCTACTTGGTAGCCTATCTAACGAAAGAAGGAAGAAAACAGTGGAATCTTAGTGAAATCCTAAGCAAGTACCTACCGTAAATACTGTAATAGTCCCCCCCCCATAATGACGGTGCGGGCGTTGCGTAGTCTGGCTTTGGACGCGTTTTGCTCGACACTGGTTTATGCCACAATGCGCAATTAGGTATCAAAAAATAGCCCTGAATTTCAGCTATTTTTTGATATCTAAGCGCGCATTGTAGCATAAACTAGTGTCGAGAAAACTCGTTCAAAGCCAGACTACGCAACGCCCGCACCGTCATTATGGGGGTCGGGCTATTACAGTATTTACGGTAGTAAATAAGGTTGTTTGTTTGTTTGTTGTTTGTTTGTTGTTTGTTTTAGCTAGTTATTTGTTTAATTTTATCATATCACTTGGTATTTTCTTCAGCAAAAGCGAAGAAAAACCTCTAAATAAAGGCAAATCTTAAAAAGGATTACTTTGAACTAACTCAAGAAATTAGAGAAAGTAAAGAAGCAACTCTGTCTTAATGAATGTCTTAATGAATGTCTTAATGAATGTCTTAATGAATCTCCGTCTTCACAAGCCTCTTTATTGGAAAACTTAACTTAAAATCGGATTTAATAGCAAGTCTAAACGTTTCTTTAAGTTTTAGGTAGTGGCTGAGATCGTATGGCTTCAGGATGTCATCTATCACTCAATTCGCGATGATCCATATGATTGGGTGGTCTGCTCGGCTGTCTACTCGGCCTGGTGTCCGGTAGTATTCGGCTTTTCGGTTTTCCATCTCCGCAAAATGAAGCAATGCATGGAATGCTATTGATGCTACACTATTTTGTTAATTCTTGCTTTGCTTTGAGAAACTTTGCTCTAATGTTCTATTGTTATTGTTATTGTACTATTCTATTGTTTTGCTGTACACTGTGCATTTTTTCATTTGGAATTATGGGAGCATCGTTTGATTGTCAAATTTTATAAAATCTCAGCATAGAATTCTAAAGAATTGAACTCCCCAGAGTAAAGAAGACACTGCGACCAAGGGTGCGAGATGGCCACTTCGGTTGATGGCGTTATCTCTGAAAATGGTTTTAGGCATTGATAAAAGTTGAGATTTGATTTCAAATCACCGTAAATACTCTAATAGAAGCACACCGCAGAGGAGGGAAAAATGAGAAGCGCTTGTGCTTCTATTAGAGTACCATATTCTCTCTAATAGTAGTGCACCCTAAGCTTCGCCTAAATTGCTCGAAACTCGAGAACCGCTTATCAGAACCTATCGATGTGGGGTCGGAAAATGTAGCTGACGATGAGATCTAGTGGGGGATTTGAGCGTTGAGCTTCTGTGAAAGCTTGGGAACTGTAAAATTGTCATCAACTCGGCTCGGCGCGGTGCACTACTATTAGAGAGAATACGGTATTTACGGTAGGTGAGATTAGACTAAAAATATATGGTGAAGTAAAAAAGAAGTCATTTTTTATGTTCAAGAGAATATGTTGCAAGAAAAATACCATTACTGCAGAGTTTTTTGCCGACTTGTCCAGCCAAATCGGCTTCGGTTTGCGCTTCTTTCACGATCACATAAGTGTTACACTGAAAACATTGTTATTTTTGACTAGATACATTTGAATACACTGATAAAATGCATATTGTTTAGAAGTTAGAGTGTATTGCTCGCAAGTAATGCCTTTTTTAAAACGCACGCTTAGGGAAAATTACCGTTTAGCGAAAGTTATTGCAAGAAAGTTGGCGTAAAAATCAGGAGCGCCGCCTTATATACGACTTCTTTTAAAGATATTCAACCGTTCAACTGATTTGGTGGCAAATTCCCTTCAAATGTAAAGATATTCAATTTACTCGACGTGTAAAGAGGATACTCGTTACTCGAACTCGAGTTACTTATAGTTACTCGAACAAAAAACGGCGATCAATCGAGTAGAGATTGCTCATGCAAATTTTACTTGAGTAATTACTTACTCGCGAGGAACACACTCTACTAAAAGTCGTGCTCCGGGTACATTGTAGATTGTACATTGCCCCAGGTACATTGTACACTGTACATTGCTCCAGGTACATTGTACGTTGCTCCAGGTACATTGTACACTGTACATTGCTCCAGGTACATTGTACATTGTACATTGCTCCAGGTACATTGATGAGCTCACGATTATTATTGGGCACGTCATTTGACCTGCCTTGGCCTATTGTGCCATCTCAAAACCTTATTCTGCCCTTACGATTTGTTAGCGGCTTCTATTCAAGGTATGCCATTATTTTTTAAACTCAATTTTAGAGAAAAAATAAGAGGAAGAATACAAGAAAAGAATACAGAAAATACAAGAAAATACAATGATCCTAGGGCAACTCACTTCATCTTTTTTCGTGACAAAGCTAAACGTCAGCTTCACAGGCCCTTCCATGTTCACCACACAATCTTTTTTGGTCCTTCACTTGCTTGATAATTTCTCAACATCACACGTGTCTTTGGAGTCAGAAAAAAGGCTTTTTCAAGTCTAGCATCACAATCTTAAACAGAAAAATCAGACAATTCTGAGATCGTAATTGTATTTTTTTTCACTTACACACTTCTCGGTCTAGATTTGGTGTTTGCAGAAAGACTTGGGGGAAGCTCTAAAAGAAAATATCGTAAAGGCTGTAATAGTAGCCTCCCTATAGGAGTGTCCTGTAGTTCACACTCAAAGCACCGCTCATATCTTGGCGCCCAGACATTTGTTTCAGCGCGCTTAGGTATCAAATTAAAGTAGAGAGAATGGGTGATTTTTTGAAATATAAAACATATTCTCAGCTTTCACCAGCGATTAGAAAAAGATGATTGAAAAATGATAAAAAAATTGGCCTTTTTTGCCACTTTTCAATCATTTTTCTCTAAGCGCTGGTTAATGCTATAAATATGTGTTATATCTAAAAAAAATCAAGGATTCTCTCTACTTTAATTTGATACCTAAGCACGCTGAAACAAATGTCTGGGCGCCGAGATGTGGGCGATGCTTTGAGTGTAAACTTAGACTACACGACGCTCCTATAGGGGGTCACTCCATTACAGCATTTACGGTAACTACTGTTTAAGAAAATAAAGTTTAAGCAAGCTATGACCTAAATCTTTTATTTTTCTTTCACCCACCATTGCTTCCAAGCCAAATGAAATCGAGAAAATTAAAAGAACGAATTGAAAGATTTTCATCTTTTTCACAAACTTTTTTGTGAGATAAATTGAAAGATTCAAAGAGAATTGAAAGGAAAAAAGATCTATTTCTAAATTTTGAACACAGCTGAATTAAGTGATGTTAAACTTAGAGGAACTTAAAATAACTTTGGTTGTTTATGATGTGAAAGAGGCTTAAAATAGACCGTGCCAATGTAGAAATCTTATTTTGGGACATGAATTGGCTTTGTTGAATTTGTAATCGCCAATGGATGTGATTGAGCTTTTTAAGTGATACAAAAGCTTTTAATGTTTTAACTGGATGTATTTTTGGTCAGCGCCTTTACTCATAACAGCTTTCGATGTTTTTGTGAGGCTTTGAAAAAACTTTGGCTAAGTGATGTTAAGCTTAGAACAACTTAAAAGAACTTTGGTTGTTTATGATGTGAAAGAGGCTTAAAATAGACCGTGCCAATGTAGAAATCTTATTTTGGGACATGAATTGGCTTTGTTGAATTTGTAATTTGTAATCCATTTTTGAGCGAATGTGACACAGTAATTTTAAAGGGTTGAATTTGTAATGTAATGGATGTGATTGGGATTTTTAAGTGATACAAAAACTTTGTTTTAACTTTTAATGTTTTAACTTGATGTATTTTTGGTCAAAGCCTTTAGTCATAACAAAGTGAAGGAGCATTTTTGAGCGAATGTGACACAGTACTACTGCCATAATTGTCGCAACAAGATCAAGTTCTGATTTTAAGGCAGACAAGAGCAAAAAAGACAAATTTTTAACTAAATAACATTTATTGTACATTAACATTTATTATAAACCATCAAAAAAACTATAAATGAACTATCAAATTCGGATCGGTGAGCTTATTTCGCATTTTAAATTTTTCAGAATACCGTAAAACTTAGATTCTATTAGATGCGGAGAGTCAAATGCTTGGGATCGATTTTGAGTTGAAAGAAGTAATGAATGAGATTCGATGGCTGCATTTAGTAATCTAACCTAAAAGCTTACCTAAAGCTTACCTAAAGCTTCCCTAAAGCTTACCTAAAGCTTACCTATTGGGTTGTCCAGTTATGAATGCGCGTTTTTTACTATTTTGTAAATTTCTCAAGATACCGAAATCAAGAAAAAGATATATATGAGTATTATTCGAAAGCTGAAGATTTCCTCTACATTTTGATATAAAAAGTTTTTGAATTTGTCCAGCTTTTGGGCAAATTGACTGCACAGAAGAAGAGGTGGCCAAAAAATGGAAGGGTGCCTTTGGATCAAGTTTTGGCTCCGCTCAAATTGAGTTAACCGTTTGATGTTTGGCCAATAGATATATCAATACAACTTTTTAAAAAATATAACAATTTCAGAGCATCTTTACTTTTCTTTTCTTTTCTGGGCGGTTATTTTACACCATAAAACTTGAGGAATAGCTAAGCTGGAATGGGTTTTTTTTCGAAAACGACCTCTCCCTTTGTGCAGTCAATTTCCCAAAAAGTTGAATGTATTCAAAAACTTTTTTATTCCAAAATGTAGAGGAGATCTTCAGCTTTCGAATGATATATAACACTCGTATACATCTGTTCGATATCTTGAGAGATTTACAAAGCAAAGCTAAACAAGAAGCTAAACAAGAAACAAAGCTAAACAAGAACTAAAGCAATCTTCCTCACATACGAAATTCTAAACAAGAGAAAGGTTTTCTCAACAGACTAAGATATAAATTTTTAAATCTTAATTGCTTGTTGCCTTTTTGAATTGCCTTTTTGATTTTGTCATTTGTTTTTGAATTGTTTTTATTAGGCATTTGATAGTACTTGTATCACTCGTTGGCTTCGGGGGTTTTCTTTTCGTTTACGCAGAAAAATAGCGCTGATGATGAAAATGAGCGATTGAGACTTGTTATTCAATAATTGCACTTGTTATTCAATAATTCAATAATTTGCACTGACCTAGAAAGAAAAACGAACAGTAAATTCTGGTTCATCAAAACCGTCGGTAGCATGACAAACACCGTGAGCCCACCAGCAATTGTATTTAAAATGAAGTAAACGAGACACATCAACATGGTTTCAGCGAGAACAAAGGCTGAATTGATGCACATCTGAATGCAACGTGATTTGGATGGTGATATGAGCAGCATTGCTTTCAAAAGCCTCATTTCAAAAGCTTTTCAAAAGCCAAGTCTATGTGGTATTGCCATAGAGGAAAACCTGGCTTGGTCTAGACCTGGAAGGACCTGGATAAAGCCCAAGCCCACGTCTAAAAAGGCTAATTTTAAAAAACTCACTTGATACATGAGAAGAGTTTCAGCTCTTGTCGCTTTTCCTGATTTTCTTAACTAAAAGTATCATCACCATCAAAAACAGGTTCAAATAATTAAACCTTTTTCAGTTTGCAATTCGTCACAAAATCCAAAGAGCACATCAAAAAATACGGCCCATACAACTGAAGGTACCGGTGGTATTCACAAAAAGCGTCACAAAAGAACAACAGCCATCTTTGGGCTCCCTTAAAATGACTTAAACTGCACTCCAATTCGTGATACATTTTTATTTTTAATTGGCAAAAAGGATGCTTGGCTTATTCTTCAAAAAAATGCTAGTTTCTGAACAACGTACTCTTTAAACTCACCGCTGAGTGCGCCTGATT